AAGTGAAGTTATGTTGAAATTTTTTGAAAAATGTAGGAAATCTTTGATCCCATATATAAATGAACACACACACACAAAAAACAACCTGGGTTTTATAAGTATAACTTGATATGAGTTGCCCCCTTTCATTTTAATATGACAGAATCTTGTGTTTTATCATGTTTTCAAATTGATTTCATGCAAAAAACAATTGTGTTTTTTCTAAATTTTGACACAGTCACAACCACCAAAATTAATTTTTTGGTAAGTCCTGTTTTGTTCTTTTGAAAAATGTAGGAAATTTAATCCAATATATAAACGTACAGACACACACACACACACACACACACACACAATAAATTTTTTTTTATAATAAGTAAGATGTCAAATTTTTGGTGTGGATTTGTTTATATAAACAAGAACTCACCTGGCTGAACACAGAGAAAATCATCCAATAAGGAGTTGTCAGCCAGTTACAGCCTCATGAGAAACACACCCATATTTTCAGTAGCCTGAGAACACACAAACACCCAAATGATCCCCTATATATTATCAATTACTGTCATGGTTTTAGGCAAATAAAAAGTTTCCTTAAATTAATATTCAAGAAATATATTTTATTTAAAAAAGTTTTTTCTTTATATTCAATAAACCTGTTGTTACGAACAGTGTTGTGCCTTTTATTGAAGGAGTTCTTATTCCAGCCTGATTTCAGAGGAGACAAAAGTTACCAGGGACATAAACTGAGAATTATTCCTTCTTAACTATGGTACACAATGTATACAGAAAAGTCCACATGAGACTTTACTATCAATTCACATATCATAAGATTTTGGGAAACCCAAATCAACTATATTGAGATGACATACTACCCCCACTCGAGGAAGTAAAAGAAAGCTGGATCACCTGTAAGGTCAGTATTATTCAACAAATCTAGCAACTAAAAAAGAAGAGACTGAAGAGAGCAGAGTGTAAGTAGTGAGGGCGTCATAGATTACAAAACAATTGAAATGCAGTATTTTTTTTTATAAAGAAATAACCACAAAAAATTTCTTTTGTTCATAAATTCATAAAAATGTCTATAAACAAGAAAATTTTATAACCTTGCAAATATAAAATTATTCTTGTAAATAAGCAAACTAATAAATAAATAGTGTTTAACATCTTTGCTGTCAGTTCTCAAGAATAAGGAAAATTTATAAATCCAATTTCAAAAGTTTGGGTTTTATTCAAATTTTAATCATTGCTTTTTAAAAACAATAATGTGTGGTCTTCACTCAACTCCAAGTACTTGCTGATCAGATCTACCCAGACTCACAATGTGTGATTGTGTTAAAGCCATCTTATTTTGACATGATCATCCTCTTTAAGTCATTTTCAGGAAAATGTTTAAGAGCACATATAATAAAAAATTTTATTGATCTGTTAAAAGGTGTTTGCCCTTATTAGCAGGAAAGGTGTGTTTCAGTTACTAATGAAAATTGGCTGTCCTCCACAGCTACTGAATCACCACCTTTCATAAGAATATTCATGATGTAGTTAGCTATGATGGATAGCAGCTTGGATTGAGGAATTGGAGAGCCGAGTCCGAATTCCAGTTGAATCCATTACATTCAAATAAAACGAAAATACCCATTGGGAAAGGTGTGAAAAAATATTCTCCCCCAGCTATGGGTAAATAGCAAGGCAGACTGGGTTCTATAGCCTTGGATGGCAACTGGTCTTTTTTTAGGACAAAAACAAACTCAAACCCAAGTGGAGCCCTTAACAAATTGGACGGCACTGGCAATCCTGCAGCCGGTACCAAACTGTTTGGTTTATCCTCTTTTTGGACTCTGCTAGTCAGACCGAAAATTCACTAGACGTCTGAGCAGCCCTAGTTCTCCATATATCCTTCCCAGGCTTGTAACGCATTTTTTAATCGGATGGATGTCACCGCTGACGAGTTAGCTATTATAGTGAAACTGCAATGTCCTTCACAATTGAGTAGCATAAAACAAGAATGTGTTTTAGCACAAACTTTATTTGGTTATATTTCCTTTGCATTCAGACAATACGAAGATGGCTTATAGTTAGATACCAAAAAGCAATGGTTGAAGTGTTATGACTAAGGTACACCCAGTACTCATTAGAGGAATGCTTCTTGCTGACAACACAGCTCTGACCACACACACACAGAACATGATCACCAGCACCTGGTTAGTCAGTTCAATCATGTATTTAAGGAATTTGGGCTGAGTGTTAACATAAAAAAAACATAAAATAATGCCATGGTTCAAGATGTTTCATTTGGCTACTGTTCTCTGCTCAGTGGAAAATGTGAAATTACATTTTCTAAATACTAAATTGAACACCTTGTAAAATCAGAAACATTTTTAGAAAATGCTTTTGCATAATTGCAATCTAGGATGCCTAATTGATAGAAAACTGAGGTCTCAAACTATTTTCATAATCTTGTAAAATACAAAATTATTCTTGTAAATAAACAATCTAACAAATAAATAAAACACATCGTTATATTTGAATGCAGAATATGAAATTCCGTTTGGGAACTGAGCAGGAGATGAAAAAGTAGACAAGAACCATATTTGATCACCTTTACACAGGTTAAAACTTTTGGGGAGCATACATAAATATCAGTTCTATATTGCAAGCAATACATAAAACTGACCCCTCACTTTATGGCCACCGTAGTTTCTATACATTTATATTCCAGAGAATGTAAATTAATGTAAATGACATGCCTGTGTAGCTAATCAATATTTCCTTGACTGGTTGATTTTTTTTTTTTTTTTTTTACAGCTTATCAACCCTTTGCAAGTTATTTAAAGCCAGAATTTTTTTGTAGATAATAATTGGATAGTGATACAAGTTCTACTAATTAACCCATATCTGGGGGAAGAAGAGGTGGACTCATACCTTTCCCAAGGGTGTTTGTCATAAGTGAATACAATGAACCCAACAGCAATTGGAACTCAGCTTCACCATAATAGAAAATTCTATTTCTACTACATCTTGTACATTACAAGATGGCAATCCAGCCATCTTGATGTAGTGGACTCTTCTGAGGACATAGGAAAGCAATACACACACTATATGTAATTACTGTACCTGCTATATTTAGTGGGAACATATGCTTGAGTAGACATCATCATGAAATTAACATTTACTGGCCTACAGACTCTGTAACTTGAAAATGAGTCTCTCAACAGGAATTGAACTTGTATCCGCTTTGCAATTTAAATTTTTTAATGAATCTTAATTCTTAAGTTAATGCACGAATAAGCTAATGGTGAGTTCTACGACAATAAAATATTTGTAAAAATTCCCCTATGGCATCGTTAAATATTTGAACTTAACTTTAACAAAATATTGCAATAACAATCATAATTATGAATACTGGTTGTTATTTTAAGAAGTAAGGGGATACAAATGAAAAGATTTGAAATTGGAAACTTTTTCCATTTCACTGAAATAGTTGTTAAACACATCTATCTTCCCTACATTTTCTCACTGAAATCAAGTAGCATCTAAGATTTTGCTTTTCCATGTGATCAAAACAGACTATTCCATTATTTATGAGATATTGGCAGGGCATTAGTCAACCAGAACAAGATAAATGAATTAGCTACTAGAAAAATTTAAAACAGCTAACCTAATCATCAACTCACTTGCAAGATGAAAATTACAGAAAACTGATATTATTTATCATTCTACTTGTCTCTTAAGGAACTGATCAAACCAAATTCATGAACAATTGGACATACCACTACATGCCTACCAAGAAAACTTGAGGTTTTCCCTATGCATTCTTTGTGGCAATCACATTATAGGTGATAGGGTAAATACGCTGTTCAACTTTTAGAAGTCTTTTATTGGCTTAGATGTAATTGTAAGAAATTTTGTTAACCTGAGGCAAGGACAGCTTTCTATTTTGAAATATTTTACAAGCCTTTTGTTTCATGTTGAATTTATTAGATCATTTCACACCAGGCAAAGCAATAAAGCTCCTAGGACACAAGAGGTTACTGAGGTGTTATACTGTCAACCGAGTGAAATAAAATGAAGAAAAGAAGTCTATAAAATATGTTTGCCATTCAATTCAGCCTGTGATGCAGTATCAGGGTCTGAAGAATTGCACCATAACACAACAAACAAGGAAATTAGCCATAAGTAAAGCTATTGTAAACATCCAATGCAACCCTTGCGACAGCTTTCCACTGACTAACCAGTGATCACCTTACACTGCATTTCAATTCTCTCGTTGGTGTTTGCAGAAAGCTGTGGAAGAGTGCACTGCATACTCACAAGGTCCTAAAAAGTTCTCTGAAAGAAAAACGCCAAAAATAATAACATAAATCCAGTTTACCATATTATATATAGATGTTTTATTCAGGGTTTTGCCTGCTCATTCGGGTGGGTAAGGAGATAAAACGGGGGTGGGTGGGGTAACAACTTCTGTTATATCAGTTCTTTCTCTTGCCAATTACTTGAACATCTACTCATCCCAATGTGATGGATGGCAATACAGAAATGGAAGCTTTGGAAATGCAACACATCCATCTCCGGCAAAGGAGAAGACTAGCACCCCACCCCGATCCCAAGCATGACTGTTACAAACCAGTACTCAGATATGGCTTATTTCCGGTTTTGTTGCCATTTGACCTCCGAAAATCCCTCATACACACACTTTACCTCCATTACCCCTTGGTTATAATGGATACCACTTTGAAGACCAAACTTCAAAAGGACCCATCTATTGGTCTATCAAACCGAAACACTTGAGATCAAGATAAAACCACCTCTTCCCCTTTCTATGTGGGTGTCCATAGTATTGTACTATATACAACTGATCATTCTCCTTATTTGATCAGCAATTGGGGCGACAAGAGAGAAAAGTTAGCAGGGTGTCAAAATGGTGAGGGTATAAAAGAAATTAATGGGAGGAGGTAATACCTGGCTGAATATTAAGGGTGCACAAAACTGTCAAAAAAAATTGTCAGTTGTATCAAAAGGAATGGTTAGACGGTGAGTGGAGATAGATAGATGGATGGATGGATGGTGAGAGAGAGAGATAGATGGTGAGAGAGAGAGAGAGATAGATGGTGAGATAAGTTATGGGGGAGAATGAAAATGACATCATTTTTCTTAGGTTTGGATGGCAACCAATTTTAGAAATTGGAAACTAAATTAAAACCATGCTGAAGACAATGGAAACCACTCCGCTATCCTTCCTAAGAAGGCATAGCAATTCACAAGTAAAGAAAAGGAAACAATGGAGAACCATAACTGCCTACTTCCTGAAAGGATATGCCTTTTAAGAATAGGTTAAAAAGCAGGGTAAACTGGGATTTAATCTTGGATGGCACAATGAAGGAGAAAAAATAAATGAATTCCATGAAGTTTGGAGAAGACAACATGAAACCACTCCACTCTTTTCCAAGCAGTCATAGCAATTTACTGATAATAAAGAAAAGGGGAGTTGTGGAGAGCCACGATTACTTAAAATGTACATGGCATTGTTTTAAAACGCACTGGTTTACAAGGTATGAGTCGCAGAGTAGAATCTCTAATCTCACAAAACACTTATCTTTCCCGTATGAGAAACGAATCCCTCATCGCCAGTGTGTTGTAGAGTAGTTTTCACAGTGGAGGCTTGTACTTCACTAAGTCGGTCCTAAAAGGGTTCGACGTATAAAACGTTAGGAACTTGAAAAAATTGTTAATGATGCTGCAATCTAGTTGTGGTGGTTGATACTTTAATGTCCGACATCGACTGACTCACACAACTCACTGGCGACTGCTACTACTGCTACTTATTATCTGTGGGAGAGTCTATTAACAATAGGTATGTTCTAGTATAACACTAATATTGCGACATACCTGTAACCAGACCTTTGTTAAGATATCTGGTAATGAGACAGTATATAACTAAATAGAGTCAGGAATTTCTAAAAATCAATCAGTTTGCTAATTCCCTACAATTTACCTATTCATCTATATCATATGCCATATGAATTTGTAGATTTTTTTTTTTTTTTTTGAGCTGTTACTTTCTGCAGTAATAAAGCAAATAAAAATAAGACAATTGAATTTCCATCTTGATTAGAGTATCTAACCGGAAGGTAACCAAGTAAGTGTAACCAGTGTTCAGCAAGTTTAAAGTTAAAATTGGCAGAGTGCACAGATACTACACTGAGCTGAAGCAGAAATATCAATTTATACTGTTTTTTTTTTCTATGAGTGTTAGAAATATTCAAGTATTTAAAGACTAACATCTGAAAACCTAATATGGTTGATTTGTTTTCTATGGCTTATTAACACATTGCAGGTTATTTAAAGCCAGAGAATATTTTTAGATTGTAAGAATTTTTTTGAGATAATAATGGTTACAAGTCTAACTAATTAACCCATAGCAGAGGGGAGAAGAGGTGGATTCATACCTAATCAGAATTTGATAAACAAGAAATTATGTGGATATAAAGTGGGGGATCAACTTTATATTATAATCAATACATGAACTGACCCCTCACTTTGTAGTCAGGGTAGTTTCTATATATTATATTCCAGAGAAAGTAAATAAATCTGAAAGATATGTCCGTATAGCTAATCAGTATTTGATTGACGGATTTGTTTTCAACAGTTTTAATCTTTTGCAGGTTATTTAAAGCCAGAAAATATTTATATTGCAAGAATTTTTTTTAATTTTTTTTAGATAATAATGGTTTTATTAATACAATTTGTACTAATTAAGCCATAACTGGCAAATGAAGAAATGGATTCATGCCTTTCCCATGAGTATTTGTATGTAATTCCAATGAGAATTGGAACTCTGTTCTTCAATTAGCAATTACGAACCATTATCTATTAATCCATCTGCACATCCAAGCTTACAGCACCTGGTATTCCCAAGCGGTCACCTATCTAGGTAATGACCAGACTCGACATTGCTTAACTTCAGTGATCGTATGAGTACAAGTGTTTCAATGTGATATGGTCATAAGCTGCTAAGAATAGTAAAGACTTAACAAAATATACTGGTATTTTTTAAGGAATTTTTTTTTTTTTTTTTTAACAACTTATCAATCCTTTGTGGTTTATTTAAAACCAATACATAATTTGGATTGTAGGAGGTTGCTTACAGAACCAGTCACCTATTTAAGTACCGACCAAGTTCAGCTGCTTAAAAAAAAAAAAAAAAAATGTTTTCAGCATGACATCACCATAATTAATAAACTTTGGGGTGGGGGATCAGTTTATTATAGTTAATAAGTAATAAAGTGATCACCTTAAAATTACTCCCTGTTAACATAATAATTTAAAAAACAAAACTCATGCATGAAAACATTTTCATAACGGTTAAGAATTTAACTAAATATGCAGTCATTTTTTTTTTATGAGTAAACTAAGATTAAAGATTCAACTGGAAAATAAAATGGAGAAGGAGCAGTTTTCTATTGCAACTCAGGCTCTAAAGAGAATTGCTGCAGGTTAATGTAATCACTGGAAAAGCATTTTTAAAGATTCATATGTAATAATAAGTAAGGACTTCAGATTCTGGCATCACTCACCATAGTTTTGATAGATGCAAAAAAAAATTATATAAATTTTTATGTACAAAGAAGTAGTTACTTGCGCGGAAGGGAAAACTGGATAAATTATTTTAGTATAAGTGGTTTCATATTTCATAGAGATGTTAGAGTGCTACTGTTTGTCTTTGACAATGTATAATTTTGATTGTACGTTATATGTGTGTATATATATATATATATATATATATATATATATATATATAATCTGACATTTTGCATTATTTCAAACTATAATTTGCGGATACTCACATTCATTTGAAATAGATGCCATGTTTTTATTTTAAACAGTGTTTAAAAGAGAGATGGATGTACTATTTCAAATATAAATATCTATTATTTGAATTTTATATAAGTACAGATGATCCCTAAAAATCCATTTGGTTATAATTTATTTTATTATATATATATATATATATATATATATATATATATATTTGGTTGGATAGATGTGAGTTTGTGACCCTGGGTTTCACGCTTTAGTGATCGGCAGACAAACGCTAAAGCGTGAAACCCAGGGTCACAAACTCATATCTATCCAACCAAATATGTTAGCTCTATCTCTGATATTGAGCGCTCTAATAAGTACCACGCGATATATATATATATATATATATATATATATATATATATATATATATATATATAAAACATTCATCTCTTCAGACTGAAGTGATTTTTTTAATAAATGAAGTCAATTTGTCCAGACGAAAGGCAAAGAGAGATAAAGAAAAAAAAAAAAAAAGGAAAAAATTTTGTATTAAAAACTTCATAGATACTAATATGTAGATATATTTACATTTTTGTATATGATCCTTTATGTGATTTTCTTGTCTACATCAGTGTTATCTTAAATTCTTAATTACCTTTATATTAATTTTTTTTATTATTTTTATCTATATATATATATATATATATATATATATATACACACACACTTATTTTAATTTTTTAATTTTGTTCTTTATCTTTTAATTTATTTAATTAACATTTTTTATATATTTTAAATTTTTAATTTTAATTCATTTAACTTAGTTTATTTTATTGATGTCAAATATTATTATTAATTTGAAATTGTGATGATTATAATGTGATGATGATTCCTTTGCTGTCACAAAGGACATGACTATTAGACACATTATTGTATCTATTTTAATTCTGGTCCTCCTCCTCCTCTTATCCTGTATTTTAACTTGGTCACACTGTAAAGAAAAAAAAAAATCATTTCTAAGTCACCCTCTCAAATTATGTTTAATCCTTCCTTCTTTCTTTTTCCCCTCACTCTTTCCTCCCCCTCCCACTATCTCTTTCTCCCCAACCAAGTTTTTCTTTTAACCTTATATTGAAATTTTTATTTTTCTTCTTCCTCTCTTAATATAAAAATGTTTTCTCTTTTTCTTTTTTCTTTCTTTTTTTCATTTCTCTTTTGTCTGGACAAATTGATTCCATTTATTAAAAAAAACAAAAAAACTTTGGTCTGAATAGATGAATATTTGTATATATTCATGAAATAAATTATAACTGAATAGATTTTTAACGATCGTCTGTAATTATTATTATTACATTGCTCTGTTTCTTACATTGAGCTCTCTCTGAATTCATGGCCTACTTGAAATTATCCCTACCAATTCAACAGATATTATATATATATATATATATATATATATATATATATATATATATATATTATTTGAAATGATTTGTTTTTATTGGACATTATTTCATATTACTATAAATATTATTTTTTTTATTGAGAAGACATGTTTGAGCTATCCCTTGTTTTTAGTTTTTCTTTTTATTTAAACAGAGAAATGAAGAATGGCCATCCCCACCCCAATTTTTTTTTTTATAAAGATAAAAAGGGGGGGAGTTATAGCAGTAAATAATAATACTGGATAAATATCCTTTCGAAAAAATACTGCTGTTTGTATTTAGGATATCAAATATCATATAGATTTGAAGAAGTCCTAACAAGAAAGCATGCCTAACCTAATCTCCACCACGGCCAAACTGATTAGAGGCGCACTTTGGGTTGACAAGTTGTTTCCCTGATGGTTGGTGGGGTACAATTTATCTTCAGTAGGATTTTTCTATTATTATTAATTTCACTGTTTAAGAAAAAAAAAAAAAAATACAACAAAAAAAAAAACACAACAAAAAACAAAAAAAAAAAAAAAAAAAACCAGTAATGGCAACTCAAACATGGGTATATACAAAAAAAAAAAATGTTTATAGTAATATATGTATGCGTGTGTTTGTGCATAAACATGTCAGTTGTTTGTAAAAAAAAAAAAATGGCTACATCAAAATGCCTGTGTACAGTGCAGGTCAAAGGGTAATTAGGGGTTCATGTCTTGCCTTTAATAAAGGGCAGGAATACAAAGTAATCCGATAGTGAAGCAGAGAAAATTTGATATTGCTTTACCATTTATATTTGTTCATGTCCAATGTATACATACAGATCTTTCACCTGAATTATGTCCCCAAAATTCACAAGGGCCTTCGTCTCACTAAATTTGTCTTTAGCGGTGCAGACAGATGAGAGACGGGGAAAATATAAATGCATATTTTCTTTTGTTCTTTTTTTTCTGACAACGCAATACCTTGAATGTGGTTATGACGATTGCAGAGGAACAGTGAGAGTGTGTGCAAAAAAAAAAAAAAAAATTATTTTCTATGGTCGTTTGAGCATTTGAATCGTGGAGACTTGTGCCTGCCCAAAAGTTTCTCTACTTCAGGACACTGGTCAATCAGCTTTGACCTCTTCTGAGGGGTCATGCATTTCTTTGGCTCATCATACATGGCTTTGTAGGTTTCACTATTTCTTATCTTTGTCTCCATGTCCTTTACGATTAAAAGGTTCTCCAGTTTGCCACAGTCTTCAACGACATCCTGAAATGGGAGGGGCAAGAAAAAATAAGAATAAAATATAATAATGATAATAATAATAAAAAGAAACTAATTATTGTTTGACCCCCCCCCCAACAAAGTTGGTAAATAGGAAACACGTATATGTCCTAAGTTTTTTTCAGTATTACCACCATAGAAAGACAAAAGGAAAAGTTTACTTAGCTGACATGTTTTGTTCTCTGATGGACTTTATCAACAGAAACTTAAGAATTTTATTTTGCAACAAGTATTTATAAACAAAGTACAAATGTTTTTCAAAATTTTAAAATTTAAGAAACTCGTAAATTTTTATCAGGCTAAACTGAAAAGTCAAGGTAAATTATGGAAGATGCTAAGTGACGTAATTTCATGTCTGATACATAAAAATGAGTAAATTATTTGGGATATTTTTTTTTTTTTTAATAATGTAATTATTTATTTCAATTTTGGATTAATTCTTGTATTATATATTTTTTGATGGTCTTGAAGTTAACAGTTTTATTTTAGCTTAAAATTTTTATGATTTTTTTATTTTTATGTCTTGGGAAAGAGTTAATACTTTCAGGAACGGTGATATTAGAAAAATTCCAGTGTGCAGATTTATATTTTGGTAAGATTTGATAGTGGCACTCACAAGAAGTTTTCATCTAAGTAAGTTACTTTAACTTTTAATAAGTGTGACATTCTTTAAATCCAAGTTATGGTTGAATTTGTGTGTGTGATAACAATTTATAAATTTTTATGAATCAAGAACACTTTTTTTAGGAAAAATGTATAACAAAGTCGAAAAAATCCTTGTGTAATGTGTTTCGTCCCTTAGGAATTCATCAGACTAGGTTTGTCTATGTTGATATGATTAGTATGAACAAGACATACTGGAAATTTTAAATTTGGGAAAGTTGTGTGTGTGTGTGTGTGTGTATATGTGTGAGATTATATATATATATAATGTTTTTGGTTAAATGCCCATGAAAGTTCTTTATGAGAATGAATTGTATCTTTAGAAAGAGAAAAGATTAGATTTTGCTTACATACTAATTTTATCAAAATAGAAAATGAACAGTGTATCAGCAGTAGAAACAAAGAAATTTCAGTATTTTGACACAATTTCACACTGTTTAGGATACATACTATCAGTAATGCTTGTCTTCATTCCTGACCACTGACAATCCCTTCCTAATTTTCAATAGTAAAATCATTAGTGATGCATTTACATCAAACATTGAGCTATTTTATCAGTAATGCTTGCCTTTATTATTGACAACTGACAAAATCAGAGTAGGTTAATGTATTCAGGTGAAGAGATTATCAGTTAGAGAAAAAAAAACTGTTCATTAATTTCAGTATCAAAGAAATAAATATATTTTAAAAAGAATCTCACCTTGGACATGACCCCTATAGCCTTAATTGTCGTAGCCACTGTGCTGTGGTCAGCTTCTATTTTGTCAACAACTGCAGCCATTGCATCAATTTTGTCTTTGTTGGATGTTGGGAGATTTGTAATCTGAACAGAGTTCTACAAAGGATGGAAATATTTGTAAGAGAAACAATCTATAGAACAGAGGAGACACAAAGTGTTGGGCATATACCAGACAAATTGATAACAACAAAATGGCTGAGGTATATCTACAAGAGGTCAGGATTAAAAAAAAACACGAACAACACAAAAAAAAGGTACAAAAAAAAACAAAAACAAACAACACAAAAAAGGTACAAAAAAAAAACAAAAACAACACAAAAAAGGTACAAAAAAAAAAACAAAAACAACACAAAATAGTACAAAAAAAAAAAAAAAACAAATACAAAAAAGTACAAAAAAACACAAAAAAACAAAAAAACACAACACAAAAAAGGTACAAAAAAACACAACACAAAAAAGGTACAAAAAAACACAACACAAAAAAGGTACAAAAAAACACAACACAAAAAAGGTACAAAAAACACAACACAAAAAAGGTACAAAAAACACAACACAAAAAAAAAAAAAAAAAACACAACACAAAAAAGGTAAAAAAAAACAACATAAAAAAGGTAAAAAAAAAACAACACAAAAAAGGTAAAAAAAAAACAACACAAAAAAGGTAAAAAAAAAAAAACAACACAAAAAAGGTAAAAAAATAAAACACAACACAAAAAAAGGTAAAAAAAACACCAACACAAAAAAGGTAAAAAAAAACCAACACAAAAGGTAAAAAAAAAAAACACACAAAAAAGGTAAAAAAAAAAAAAACACAATACAAAAAAGGTAAAAAAAAAAAAACAAAAAGGTAAAAAACGACACAAAAAAAAGGTAAAAAAAACCCAGAAAAACGTTAAAAAAAAAAAAAAAAAAAAAAACAGAAAAGGAAAAAAAAAAAGGAAAAATAAAACAACGCTTCTTGAGAGAGTTTTTCTTGTAAGTGAAAGAGGCAAAAAAACATCCCTAAATTCCTTGCAATGTACAAAAATGGTTGCTGAGAATTAAAAACACTGTGTGATGAAAAGAATTTGGAGGTCAGTGTTTGGAAAGAGAAGGGCTTAATGGGTTGGAAAGTAACACTCAGTAATTTGAGGGCAATTCTGGTGAAGTTTCATCTATTTTAGTTAACCCAACTTCTGTAGCTTTTATGGTTTTAAGGACGATTTAACAACAAAAAACTTTTTTTTTTCACAATTTTTTTGCTAAGGAGCAATCTTCTTATTTTCCAATTCCTTTTCTGATACAAGAATTGTACATTTTTACTTGCAGTTTTTTTGCATGGTTGTGCAAATTCTATCCTGGATGAAAAAGATTGATGAAGCAAGTTCAACAAACATTTGACACAGCCAAGAAAATTTTAGCCTTTAAAGGAGATGACTGAAGAGCCATTTTAGATTCTTCCCATGATGCTTTCTTTTTTGTAGCTGATGAAATTACATAAAAACTTTAAGATGTAAGCTTATTTAAAAGTGTTCCCAGTCACAAAGTTCTGACTAATGGAGTGGTAGTTCTTCAATTTCAGCATTACTGAACAAAGAATAATCCCAAGTCAGATGGCAATGTGGATAAATCACTGAAAGACCAACTGAAATATTTAATTGTTGTCAAGGTGTTAAGATAAAACACTAGTGGGAATAAAGCTTAGCTGGAAGAGCTGCTCTTTGTGAATATTTGACAGCAAAATCATTTTCTGCATCTTGAAATCAACAAAAGAAGGAAGAAGATTTATCCACTGGCTATGATGAAGAATTATTTCAAGTGATCTTCAGATATGAGAGACAAGGCCAATAAGTTGCAATATACTATGATTCCAGTTCTTACATTGGCCAATCTCCAACCAGTATAATAATCAAGTTTCTAGCTCCAAAATCTAATGGTAGAAACAATTATTTTCGATGGCTTTTGGTGAATGACATTGCACAAGTCAACTTTTGTCTTAAAATGGGATTTAGATGTATACCAGTGATGGTAGAATCTGGAATGTACCAAAACATTGGTTACAAAAGCCTATAAAGAAATTCAGATTGTAAATGACTATTACAAGAGGAAGGGTATTAGAGTCATTCAAATTTGCCCAGAAAGTCCTTGAGTTTTAAGGCTTTACAATTTGTTTGAAGAATTGACCAAAATTGACCACTGTTTGCTTATGAATAACAAGTTTCAAAGTTTTGATGTTGTCAATCAAGTAGTTGCCATAATTATTTCACTATCAGGATATAAGGGAGTTCACTGGGAATACTCTGCCAATTTTGCAGATAACTGGAGGTCACTTTTTGTGCAAGTAAAAAACTGTATAAATTTACAAAATTTTAAAAAAAAAAAAAAAATCAATTACATTTAGGTGAAAGTTTTATATAGAGAGAAAATAACTGTTTTGATGAATTTCACATCCTCTACCACTTCGTCCCCAGTCCCTCAACCTCCGGCGTCTTCCTCTTTGGGTTGAGGTGTCCACTCGGTCCAAACCGAACTTAGGGGTAACTGGTCGTACGCTCCCTGAGTACCCGGAGATTATTTTGACCAGTCAACTGGTCATGTCCTGCTTGCTGCCCACGCTGTGTTAGTTTTTAGATCCAGTAAGCGGGGTGTTGTCCATACGTTCACGGTCGACTGGGGATGTGGACACGGCTGTGAGAGTTGGCGGTAGGAAGTTTAGAATGTGGCAAAATAAAACAAGAAATAATATCTGCAGAAGCTAGACAACAATGGGGGAAATATTGACGTCTTTTATATAAGAAGATGACATCAGAACAAAGGTTACAGGGAGAATAAAAGCATTTAGCATAAATGAGAAAAGAAAAAGAAAAAACACAATGCATCCAGCGAATTCCCAACAGAGAGAGGGTTTGTGTGTGATAAACACGTATTGAATCGCCTGGGGTAGGTTTATGACTAGTAGTCCAGTCTCATACAGATTTCTCAGAACAGCGGGCAGTCTTCCTTCTCTAATTCTCTCGTGACTCTCTCGACGACAGTCTCATTTCCCCCGACTCTCTTGACCGTCTCTTTGTAGCACTGTGACCCGTAATGGTCACCTGCGGGTGCTCACGCATGTGACGACAATGTGCCGACCAATCGTGATCTCTCACGTATCTCTTTCCCATCTAGCCTCTTCTGTCTCACTTGACCATCTCCTTCTCTTCAGCATAACTACGCTGGTTTCTATAGATAAATCTGTTTGATCATGAATGAACCCTTGGCCCGGCACACGATTATCATGAGTGCCAAAAACTATCCCTTGATATGTAAACCGATTCTCCAATTATTTACGAGTTCTTCTCACTTCACCAAAATTATACTTTGAGATATCTAAACATTGATTCAACCTTTTAATCAAAACACTGCTAAACAAAACCAAATATCCTGTAGCCTGAGTAAGCTCTATTTCAATTTTTAACCAATAAATTTTATTTAGATCATTTTTTCATTGTTTTTTTTTTTCAAATGACCCAGATTTAAAACATCGCCTCCTGCCTGAGATCATATTTCTCATCGGTAAACACACATCTTAGCCCAAATTGTACTTTGATATATATAAACACCATTTCCAGTCAATAAAAGTTATATTTGCGTGTGTGCATTCATGTGAGTGTATATACCTCTCTCTGTTACAATCCTAAAACAAGTAAACTTCAGGTTTTTTTTTTTTTTTTTTTTTTTTTTACACAGCAAATTGAAGAGGGTATATTTTTTTTCAACTTTTTTTACCCTATCAAATTCTGCTTCTGCCTGTACTTACATGGTGAAATAAGAGTTGTTTTACAGGCGAACTCCAGTGAAATAAAAATTTGCTTAAACTCTAAAATACTATGAATCATTTTAAGAAGTTTCAATGACTTAACTTATGAATAGTCAAATTTGCCTTCCTGTGTTATTTTTGCACTATTTTTAGGACAGAATGTGATCCCTCCCACCCACCAACTCTGTTTAAGCTGGTCTTATCTATTAATTATTAATTCTATTAGTATTATCTTTCTTATTACTTAATAACATTGCATTTATAATTATTTTTCACTTGTTTGAATGAGAGAAGCCTGCATCTTCACATATATACTCTTAAAATGGGCTTCTGGCCCAATCTCAAGATGGAAAATTCGACAAAATTTGAATGGTCATAATTCAGTTACTAATTAAGCTAGAAAGATAAATTTGGTACCATTTTTTATGTTTTGCCAAGCTCTATATGCCTACATAAAAAGCTTTGAGATATATTTTTAAAAAATAGTTTGAGATAGCTACTAAAAAGGAAAGATCATTTTAAAAAGATCAAGACCATGACTGGTATCATGAATATAAAGTAAAAAAAATACAAAAAATAAAGGATTATCCTTGAAATTTGTTCAAAACAATCTTCCATGGCAACACCATGACCTCAAAGAGAGAAAGAATCCTAACAACTTACCAAGTACCGTGTTTCACGGCTGCTGTAACTTTTCCAGTGTTTTCGGCAGATTTTTGGTACGTTTTTCCTCAGGGTTACAGTCTTCAAGATGGCATCATCAAGAGCAGGAATCATTACTTCGGTGATAGATTTCTTTTTCTCTAAATCAACGGGCTCAAATTCTAAAAAGAAGAGGAAAAGAGTCCAGGTATTTTTATTAACCTTATAAGTGTTCCAGCTGCTATCATTTATGGTATATTAAAAGATATACGAGAGTTATTCAAAAAATAATACCTGTTGTTGTTCTTTAATTACAAGAGATTTAATAGTAAAAGTATACCAAAATATACAGGATTCCAAATCTAGTCTTCAACATAGTCCTTTTCTTCTCAACTGTTGCAAGATGGTCACTCTAAAAGAAATTCCTTTAATTACAATAGATTTAATAATAAAAGCACATAAAACATACCAAAAGACTCAAGGTTCCAAATTTAGTCCTCTCAAATTGTGGTACTGAGGGTCAGTCAAAAAGTAATACCTGTTCTTCTTTAGCCATAACATATCTAAACACACAGAGTAGAAGCACCCAATGCATACCAAAATGAATGGAAACAATTTCAGGATCTCAAATGTAATTCTTAACATAGTCTTGTTCTCAATCATGGCATTTCACTTCTAAATGAGAGCAGATATAACCATTTTGTAAACGCTTCTTATGTACAAGTTGCTTCCTTGTTATCATGAGAGAATCCGTCTCCTTCATGGTGTCAAACAGTTGGTGTGATGACTTGCATTATCAGGTCTCAAAAAGCACATCAGTAATCTTTAAAAAGATGCCTTGCCCTGAATTTTGACATTGTGCTCATGGAGCAATCAGAATTGATAATGGTGTCATCAGACATAAATTATGACTCACTTCAGAGAGAGAGAAGAAAAAAACTACCTGAAGTTGTGTTTCCATCTTCATCAACAGGACAAGGTTCTCCATCAACCAGAACATTATCTCGAAATACTTTATTGTAGATCTAAAAAAAAAAAAAGAAAAAAAAAAAAAGTCATACATTACTGTAACAAGTTACCTTACTACCCACAGTAGTCATAGGTAATGGGGCTAATCTGGGTGACTATTACTACATTAATACCGAGTAATGTTTGGCTGTTTTAGGAAATAATTCTTGCAGATTGGAATTTATTCTTCCTTGAGTTACATTTGTCAAAATTGAATAATATTGATTTCTTCATCAATTTAGAAAAGCGGTCATATTTATACAACATAAAATCGATCTGTGACTTATTGAACTTATTTATGAAAGTCAAGTTTGAAACTCTTACATGAAGAACAAATGGATTATATATATATATATATATATATATATATATATATATATATATATATATATATATATATATATGCTGGTAATGCCAGTCTTTGCTGTTTGCATAGCAACTGGTGTGGGCAGGCATATCTTGATTCAAGGAGTGCTAACTAAAGATTGGCTTTCATCAGTTTATTAACTGATGTCATTCACTGGCTGTCATGTGACCCTCGGGACCTCATTTCAACCAAAAAGGACCTATCACTGGATCTAACTAATGCCTTTATGCACTGTGCCATGTATCCTGTAACAGGACCCAAAGAGTGTGAGTTCAATACCCAGTTAAGGCAGTGGAGAACTTTCACAGGAAAATTAACAGGAGATAACTGATAACTGACATTCATTAAACATGACACATGGAACTAGAACAGTCTACCCCAGTGAGCGAAATAAAGGGTTCAGTTCAATATTCCAACTACCCGAAGAAGGCCAGAGCGTACAACGGCCGAAACGTTGTAATAAATATGGCAACAAAGATGAGGACAATAGTCTGAATAATGTAAAGAGTGTTTGTCATTTATTTTGCATATCCACTGTGCCATGTTTCCTTGAGGATTTATAAATCCTGTCTCCTTTCATCTGTTGAAATATGGCAAAGATTTTTTTTGTTTTTATTTAAGGGCTGGTGACCACCAAAACAATTACCATTTCATAAATTGTGAAATATCATACAAACTCTATACTTAAAATTACTACTTAAAAGTTGATATTGTTACTTTTTGCTATATAAAAGACATTTAATAAACTTTAACACTTCAAAGAAGCGTAATTTTAACAACAAATGTGTTTGTTTTAACTGAATTAAAACTTAACATTTTCTATAGAGGAATGAATTTAATAGGAAAAAGTTAACTAGGAGAATTTTTTGGGAGTCAAGAGTTAAAAATGAAATAAAAGAAAAATATGAAAGCTATGGAAATCTATACTGTGTCCCATAAAAGTTGTCACATTTAAGGGACAAAATATGTATTGTTGCATTGCAGCTCAGGTGTGACACCAAGTTCATTGACAGGGTGTAGTTTCTTACAGATCATTACCCAAGAGTGAAAAACAAAACAATTTTAGCAGTAAACCAAATTTTATTCTTAGGTTTTAACCTATTGCTATAAGTGATAGTTGGTCCTTGATCTAAGCTTTCAACTCACACAAGCCATCTTCAGGGTGGTTATACAGACATTTTTAACAAAGATATTCATCATCGGAGATAATCCTTGAATCAAGATATCCCTCACTTATAGCAGTACATTAAATCTTCATTTAAAAATGTATCTTCCTTCCGTGATATTCTCTCTGCCTGAGCTTCTTGCTCTGTCCTTTGAAGTTAACTTACTGATAACCAGACCTCAGCTGATTCATATTGCTACAGTATACAAATGTGCTAATTATTATAAGATAGCATTACTTTTATTATTAGGAAAATTATAATTATTCTATCAACAAGAAGGAAAATATTTAGCAGATAAATAGCCATTTCTCTCCAGTCATCCCCTTGATAAGATAGCTGCAGATTTCCCTAATGATGCCAGAAAGCTGTGTTCAAGCCTAGGTTTTTTCTAGACAGGCCCACCGCATGTGAAAGATTGCACAACACAATCTTCTATTTGAATAAAAATCAGATGTTTTCATGTAAAAAAAAAAAATGATACAAAAAAACATTATTTTCTTATTTTATTTTAGAAATTCCTTAAGTTTGTCAATTTTTAATTATTTAGTATATCTGACTTAGTTTTGGCACAAACATACAAGAAATCAGCTCCCAGTGAGGATCAAACATGCTAGAAATTATGTCATATTTGTCTATTTTATTTTTATGAAAATGTTTTTTTTTTGGTGGTTTTTCCTGTTTACACAAAATTGTTTTTGCATTTTAAAGTAGGTACCTTTAAAGATTTTTGTTTATTTTTAAGCATGTACCTTTATAGATTTTTGTTTATTTTTAAGTAGGTACCTCCAATGATTTTTGTTTATTTTTAAGTAGGTACCTCCAAAGAAAAGCAATACCTAAGATTTAAAATGAATGTTAAAATAAAAAAAAAATCTTTCTTGAAGATTTTATTTTAGTTTTAATTCCAAGCTAATAGATTAAATTTAATAATTACAGTAAACAAAATAATTTGCTCTATTTCAAACTGAATTTAAATTGATTGCAATGATTTTTTTCTATGATTATCAGTAAAACTGATAAAAAATGCCTATATTAGAAAATCTGTCTACACAACATAATACTCTTTATTAAAAAAATCATTTAAAAATATACTTTCCATGTCAAATCAACAAGGGTATGACCATCACTGATACAGATTTTTAAAAAATTTGGTACAGTTATAGAGCTTTATGTTACAACTTGAATGGTGTGCCTATTTTACATCTCTAGGCCAAAGGGTTCCTGAGATATAACCCTTTGACCTATGCCAAAAAGGTAAATTTTGGAAGAGAGGCACAAAGTTTAAATATCAACATCTTAGTTGTTTTTTTACCTACAAAGCTACATTATATACTGATTTTAAAGTACTTGGATAGTTCTAAAAGGTGATCTATTTATTTTTTGTTTGATGGTCAAACAAAATAATTTAACCTTAACCTTTGACCTTCAATTTCTCAAAAAGTGTATCCTTAATTGTTTTTAAATTTGGCAACAAATTTATCTGCCTTATGGTAAGATATGCATAAAATTTTGTAGTAGACTTTTGAGTGTGGCTTGAGTTACAAGAGTTTTACTGAGTTGGGCCAAATTCAAAATGGCAGATTTTGCCATTTGCCACTATCTGCTAACATTTTCATTATCTCCCAATATGGTCAAGTTATATATCTTCAGAAAGCTCTTTGAATGCTGATTAATATTCACATAAGAACTATAATCCTAAAACTCAACATAATTTCTGTTATTTGTGGTTAAATGTTGATCAATTCAGTGGAAAATAAACAACCTTATTTTGGGTTTTGTTTACATTTTTAAAAAATATATTTGTTGTATAACAAATAAATTTTTATATGAAAAAGTGACATGAATTAATGTTAAGATAACATGACTCTCTATATAGATAATTATTTTTATTATGTTATTTTTTCATGTAAAAAAATCTATTTGTTGCATCAGAAGGATGAAAACAAAAATGGTTGTTTATTTTCTACCAAATTGGTCAACATTTAACCAAAGTTTTGGTCTGGCCATCAAAAAAAAAAAAACAAAAAAAACAGAATTTGTCTATCAGCCTATCTGTAATCATTCTCCAAGTGTTGATCCCACTATTTATGTTACGGCAAAAGTCTTGAAAACCTTTTCCTCTTTCACCTATTTTGGCTCCATTGTAGTCAAAGGTGTGTTAAAATGGACAAAGAAATTCATTGCAGGATTGAAAATGCATTACAAAGACAAAGTCAAAGACAATGAGTCATTTACACCAGCCAATTTTATTTTTAAATGAAAGAACATATTGCTTGCTTTCAGAAAATACCTAGTTTGATGGGTTTCAGATCAAAAGTTTCCTTGATATTTTGTTCAGATGATGACAAAACAGTAATTTTTCAATATTTTACACCTATAAAAATATGGAAATCCATTTTTTTGCAGAGAAAATAAGCTGTGACAAAATGACTTTTACCATTTGTGAAGATTTTTACTTGTTATAGAAAAATTTTACCATAGCAAACCTGAATTGACTTTAAGTTTAGTGTTACAATTGGAATAATAAAAAAAAATTGACATGCTTAAAAATAATTGAATATTTTTTATTAAATTAAAAATATTCAACAAGAAATGTTTTTAGTTCAAAATACACAAAAACAAACATTTTGTGTAAACAAGGAAAAAAAAAACAAAAATATTTTCCTAAAAATAAAATCGACAAGTACTGTACAGCTCCAGTGAGTTTGATCCTCACCAAGTGATCACTTCTTATTACTTTACGCCAACAAAAGCCAAACTTTGTAAATAATTAAAAAATTGACAGATCTTAAATTGAAAATAAAATAAGTAAATAATCTTTTCTTCGTTAAATTAATGAAAGAAAGATGGTATTCTTTAGTTTAAAAAGTTGATTTTTTTTTTAATAAAATAATAAAAATTGTACAATAGGTACTTTGACCATAAATAATAATCAATTTTTTTTTATTTATTTTTTAAAAAATTTTCAAATTACATTAATTTAAAATGTTTACATTTTTTTTTTAATTTTTTTTTTTACAATAAGCACTGAAGATCATGAATAATGAAATTTTCTTATAAGATTTTACAAAAAATTAATGAGAGTCCAGTTAGCTAAGTTAAGTAAAGTTTTACACAAAAACACTGGACTCTTTTTACTAAAAATAAAAAATGTCATTTAAAAATATTGAAAATTGAATTATGCTCGTAGATATAGTCATTTCTTTTTAAACTTTTTAAAAATTCCAATTCATAATCTGAAGTGCTTAAAAAAATGCTAAAATAGTATCAAAGATGATTTTAATTTATTTTCACATTTCAAGAAATCACATGGTCTGAGCATATTTTGTTTAGGCTTCCGTAGTTGGGGGTGCAATTATTTTTTTACACAATAAATTTACAAAAAAAAAAAATTATAGCTGGTCGTAATACCTTTTTTTTGCTTAACTCCACTCAAAATATTAACAATGAAAATAATTAACTAATTAATAATTAAAATTTAAAAAAGAAATGTTGACATATTTTTTTAAAGACGGAAAAGAAAAACGTTTTTAGAGAGATCAGAGACGTAAACAAACTAAAAAACACGAATAAAAAGTTATATTATATATATATATATATATATATATATATATATATATATATATATATATATATTTCTTACCTCTGAAAATCTTTGTTTCGCCCGATCTTTTTCAATTTTTGTCAATCGACTTTGTTTATCCAAATTGTTTTCGAATTGAGACGAAACCAACCGACAAATTTCGTTCACTGAACGTAAACTTTTGCAAGACACACACGACACCGGGGCCCGTGTGGTGGAATTCAGATTATCCTGGGTGATATTGTTGCGGTAATTATTCAGGGTAACGTTCATAATAGTGTCGAATTTCTTCCTGGCATCTTGATCATCACAAACGTCATTCTCCAGATCACAATTCGAAGAAACAACCGACATGTTGGCGGTACTCGCGATGAACGGGAGGAATTTGAATTTGACGCCACGCATGCGCATTCGACAGATTGAATTGTTCTTCCGGTTATATGTTCAGGCCGCGAGTTCGATCCCGAATTGAATTATATTTACTGTATTTATTTATTAATTTTGAGTTATTATTAATTTTTTCAACGAGTTTTTCTTTAATGTTAATATAATTTATTTTTATGACATCTTTCATATGGATATTTGAAAGAAAAAAGTAAGCAAAAATAAGAACCCAGCGAAACTCGCACAATTAACTTTTTCTTCTGAAACTCGGCTCTTGAAATGAGAACTCGAAGATCCGAGTTCGAATTCCAGCCGAGTTCGTTATATTCACTTACGCACAAATACCCTTTTGAAAATATATGAATCTATCTACCCCATCCCCAGCTATAGGTTAAATAGCAGAACAGACTGGGACTGGGTTCTTTAACCTTGGTTGGCAACCAGTCTACCGCAGAAAGAAATAGCAACCTACCGAGGGGAAAATCTTCTGCCTTGTCCATCATGTATCAAAAGATACATGACTAAGCAAACATGTATCATATATGAAATTTAACTACCTGATATACTATGCCACCTAGTGGGCTGCTAGGAAAATTCCCTGGCACACAAGGTAGATAATGCCCCAGTGCTGCAAAATAAATACTGCAATTCAGTGGATTTCAGAGGTTTTCCCATATGCAAAATAAATAAAAAATAAATGACAAACACTCTTTACATTATTCGGACTATTGTCCTCATCTTTGTCACCATATTTATTACAACGTTTCGGCCGTTGTACGCTCCGGCCTTCTTCGGGTAGTTGGAATATTGAACTGAACCCTTTATTTCGCTCACTGGGGTAGACTGTTCTAGTTCCACGTGCCATGTTTAATGGTTGTCAGTTATCAGTTATCTCCTGTTAATTTTCCCCTGAAAGTTCTCCACTACCTTAACTGGGTATTGAACTCACACTCTTTGGGTCCTGTTACAGGACACATGGCACAGTGGATAAAGGCATTAGTTAGATCTATTTACAGGACCCAAAGAGTGTGAATTCAATACCCAGTTAAGGCAGTGGAGATCTCTCAGAGGGAAATTAACAGGAGATAATTGACATCCATTAAACATGGCACGTGGAACTAGAACAGTCTACCTCAGTGAGCGAAATAAAGGGTTCAGTTCAACATTCTAACCACCTGAAGAAGACCGGAGCGTACAACGGCCGAAATGTTGTAATAAATATGGCGACAAATATGAGGACAATAGTCCGAATAATGTAAATAGTGTAAATAATACCTCATCTCAGAAATATAGACAGATACTAAATGACAAACATTGACCTTTGTGGCTGCCAAAATACAAAGTATCAAAATGATGTTTTTTTCCCTTGACACCACTATTTTTTAACTACCTTCACTCCTCGGCAATGTTTGTTGTTTTAAAAAGCAATGATTAAAATTGTAATAAAACCTAAACATAAGAAAATGAATTTATACATTTTTTTTGTTCTTTATAATTGACAAGAAAAATAATAAATACTAGCAGCATGACCCGGCGTTGCCCGTGCTTGATTAAAAAATAGTACGACTTAAAATATTTTTGCCCTTCCTTGCCTTTAGAGGAGTGCCCTTTGCCGCGCTGATGTTGTTCCATGCCTTACTTCTTGCTTATCTCACACTGCCAACTTTTTCTAAGCTCTATAGTAAACATTAAATCTGTTACGAAAAAAGAACTAAACAAAATAAACACAATACGATCAGCTTTAAAAAAAACCGGAAAAAACATTTTTAAGGGTTGACCAATTGTCGATTTGCACTCTGTTTGGGGGGTGCTCAGAGTTGAAACTTCACATGATGACCCCCTTTGGTCTCTTCATAAATCCGCTCGGTTTTTTAGCTAAAAAAACGACATGCGGTTCAGACGCAATCTGGGCGTATCGGTTTTTGGGTTTTATCGATTTTCCGCGCTGTTTAGGGGTCCGTGGTCATGAAACTTCTGGACAACACTTCTAATGGTAGACTCTAAGAGGGTGTCAAATTTGGTTGAAATGCGATCATTCCTTCTATAAGCAGAATTTTTTCAGAACCTGATTCCGAACTCAAAAATCGGGCTCCGTCGTGTCCTTATGGCAGCGATTTGCAAACTTGTGTTGAAAACCGCATCGGGTGAGAAATGGGGCCTGGGCGAGGTAACAACGCCCACGACAGACACACAGACAGATAACATGAGAAATATAGATAGTAGATTATTTATAAAAATCAAGGCATCTGAGAGATAAAAAAAATCTGAGAAGAAAATGTATAAGAATTTGTAAAAATCATGTTTATTTTTTTTCTATCGCTCAGACATTTTTTATGAATAAAAAATGATTTATAAGACAATAAATATTGCATTGTAGGTGGTTCACCTGTTTTTTTTAGTTTTGTAAATTTTTATCAAATTTATAATAGTTTTTTTTTTAAAATATTTATTTCTTTATAAATATATAGTAAATAGTCATCATCATTGATTGGATTTGCAAAACGAAGGTCAAGAGTGAGTCTATACACGTCACTTGCAGGTACGTTTGTGACTGATAAGTCCAATGCGAGACAGGCATATACAGTCACAGCAGTTGCAGCCGAAAGTCCAGCCTGGGCTCGATAGCAAGGAGTTGCAGTACTTCCTCCTCTGCCTCTTGTCCTTGAGAGCGGCCCTGCGGGTATTTTCAAAGAAGGAGACTGCATGGTTGGTGGTGAGACGCCAGGCGTGACTGTTCTCAGTTAGGGCTGATGGTAAATAATAAATCTTTATAAAATGGCAAATAATAAATACTGTATTGTAGTTGGTTAACATATTTTGATAATCTTGTAAATATAAAATTAATCTTATATAAATAAACAATCTAATTAAATTAGTGTATAACATTTTTGTTATTAAAATTCAAAACATAGCTGTAAATAATAATAGCCCCTTAAGAGTTATTGCCCTTAGTCTAGAGTAGAAACTGTCACCCAAAATAATAAAACATGACATTCTACCCTTGTAAAACATAGTTTTTTAAGACAAAAAACATTGCTGACGAAATTGTGGTAATATGTAGTAATAACAGTGTCAAGAGAAAAAAATCTTTTTGATGTACAAAGGTTTAAACTTTGTTAATTAAAAAAAAATGTATGTGGAGAAAACAATTTTTAAAAAGTACTAAAATTTTTAATTTTAAATTTTAGGCTCGGAAACATGAGTTACAATTTCATTTTCTTCAATCGTTGTTAACGATTATTGTTGTCATAATGGCGAATTAGTCAAGTGAAGCCCCCTAAATTATGGCATTATTTTTTAGCATTCCGCTATTTGTACAAATCTGTGCAAAAAGTGGATCAAAGAGCTTACCCAGCTTAATACATATTTTCAGGAAATATCAGCTTCTAATTGGTCAATAAACACACAAGTGGGCGTTGCAATCCACCCACATACAAATATTTTTCCAGCGCATGACCAAGTCAAGTTTTCCCGCTATTTTTCTAGGATCATGTCACGTGGTTACATTAATTATGAATAGAAGACACGAGTTTGTTCTTTCTCTTCTTCCTTGATTTCTCTCGCTACAAGATGTAGTTGTAGAAAGAATTTGCGTCTTGACTATGTTCGGTCAGACGCTTTGAAAAACATGTTCATGCATGCATGTATATACAAAATTTTCCAAGCAACATTACAAACATATGAAACATTCCCAAACAAGCAACAAGAATTTTTCTCTTTAAAATACTCTGATCAAGCTTTCGCACACATCTTTACAAAACAAAATTGTAATTTTCTATATATAGATATAAAAAAATATATTTGTTGTTCCAAACATATCCTTTTTGTTATTATTTGATTTCTTATTTAAATTTATATTTGTGTATTTTGCATGTTTCATTTACAGTGAAACATTCCTGCAGCCTTCTTAGATCCACTACAATTGTATCTGTTGTTAAATTGATTGTATCTGCTATTAAATTGATTATATCTTCTATTAAATTGATTGTATCTGTTATTAAATTGGTTGTATCTGTTATTAAATTGATTTTTATTATTAATAAAACCGTTAAGAGAATTTATTTTACAACGTAATTTTCTCTGTCTGTAAAGACGGACATTCAGCCAGTTAAGCAAATTGTCAACATCATCAAAATCTTGTATTTCCTCAAAAACATGTGCATGTAAAGAATAAGTCAGAGACAACTGTAAGGTGGAGAGGCGGGGAATCATTTGTTTTTCTTAAAGAGAAATCCTGTTTTTCTTTGACTGATGTATTCCCTTGTAGATTAGTTTTAGTGCTAGATTCTGCAAAAAAAAAAAAAAAATTTTTTTTAATCATTTCACCTCAAGTATTGTGGCAATAAAGCCACTAAGACGCAAGGGGGTACTGGGTGTTAGAGAATATGAACAAAAGAAAAAAAAACACTATTAAAGAGAGAGAACAATAAAAGGACAGAATTTAAAAAAACAAAAGATAATGATTGACATTGCATTTAAATTTTTGAAGAACGAATTGACTGAGATGCAAGAGTCCTATCAGAGTTACTATTAAGACAGGAGTAAATAGTTAAGAGCATAAATACCAAGTTGGAAACAGAAGGTCATTGATGATGTAGGTTCAGGGATAGTTGCAGCTTTTATGTGAAATGATCTATGCTATTTGATTAGAGTATGAGAAATTACTAATATTTTCAAAGGGAATGAACTATGCAGAACTATACATACATTTAATCAAATATATGGATTTCATAAAGTGTATAAAGTCTGCAGGGGTTACCCTAACCTAATCTACCAAGATTCCTGCTTGGTGGCACTGTTTCAGGGCTATAAAAGCTCTGACGTAATCTTCCTCTTCCTCTGTACATTCTAGAATGCAGCAGTTAGATGACTTGTTCAGTTTTTCCATTTAGTTTTAATTGAGCTTGTAATGAATGCAATAAGTGTAAACTCAATAAACCATACACAGAAATCAAACAGATATTTTTTGTAAACTTTCCCGCTAGTTTGAAATTCAAATTTTTTAGGTTCTTTATCACAAGATGGAAAATGTCTACGCTAAAATTGATATCAAAATCGTTATCAATCTGAATGGGTAGGAATGAGTATGCCTATCAAAAATATTTCTCTTAATGTTTTGTGCCTAGAACCAAGAAAGGGGCACTTTGGCATGCTCTAATGGTTTGAAAGATTGTATTGCTCCATCAGTTACGATCCTCACTTGGTGTACCAGCCTTGTGCCACATCAAAACTTCTATGTGCTGTGCCTTTTCAAAATGTAGGCGATCATGGCTCTCCACAATTTCCTATCCTTCATAGCTCTTAATAAATTTTGTCCTTTTGTTATCTCTCCTGAACCTTGTTCTGCCATCCATTTACTCATGCTCATTCTTCTACATGCCATGTCCTTTCAGGACATTGGTGATCGTGGTTCTTCCCAATTTCCTGTATTTTGTAGCTCTTAATAAATTTTGTCTTTTTGTTTTAATCTCTTAAACCTTCTTCCACCATTCATTTGTTGCAGGAATTCTTGTTGTGTTTATGTAGAAAGCATGTGTCTCCTGGTATACTTTTCCTGTAATAATTATTGCCAATTTGAATGTGAGTCCAAGTAATAAATGACTATCACAAAAAAAGTGTAGAGGCATATTAAGAAGAATGACCATTTCTATGACTGTTTATGGCTCCATGAATAACATGACCACACAATTTATATTTGACGTAAAATACCACAAAACATGAAAGAACAAAAATGGTTATAAAAATATAACATCTGTATTTATTTTCTGTATTGATATTTTCTGTATTGATATTTTCTGTATTGATGTACATGAATAGAAGTTAAAGATCTGACGGAGTTATGTCCCTTAGACTGTGATTATTTTTATCTGAACTCACAAAAGTTGAATTAATTACAAAGCTGAGAAATGCTGAATAAACTGTAGCTTTAGAAGAATGTTTCTGTTATGGTCCAGTTCCTTGTACCACGGTGATGGTCCGGTTCCTTGTACCACGGTGATGGTCCAGTTCCTTGTACCACGGTGATGGTCTGGTTCCTTGTACCACGGTGATGGTCCAGTTCCTTGTACCATGGTGATGGTCTGGTTCCTTGTACCACGATGATGGTCCAGTTCCTTGTACCACGGTGATGGTCCAGTTCCTTGTACCACGGTGATGGTCCGGTTCCTTGTACCATGGTGATGGTCCAGTTCCTTGTTCCACAGTGATGGTCAAGTTCCTTGTACCACGGTGATAGTCCAAGGTAGAACCAATAAAGAAGAACTCAAACACAGGTATGGAATAACACAGATATATTACAAACAGGAATATATACAGAGAAGTAGAAGTGTTAGTATGAACAATCAGGTTTAGTAGAGAGAACAATGTAGTCTCGACCAGTATAACTATTCCAATGTCTTGCAGTAATTGTCTGAACGCGACTCTGTTTCGGACTGCCTCTGACTCGACTCTTGACTCGACTTGAACTACTGACTTGACTTGAACTACTGACTCCTGAGGCGGAGTATTTATTAAGTATGGCATAGTTCATTATTATTATTATTATTATTATTATTATTATTATTGGTAAGATCCCATAACAATTTCAACGATAAAAGTTATTGTTGCTTGTTTGGAAATGTTCTGTATGTTTGTAATGTAAGTTGGAAAAAGTTTGTATGTACGTGCATGCGGGAATATGCTTTTTAACGTTTGACCTCCCATGGCCGAGACGAGAATCCTTAAAGGTTACATCTTCACAGGAATTTGGAAGAGTAAAAGAAAAAAGAGAAAGAAGCAAGCTTGTGTCTGCTTTTTATAGATAATGTAATCATGTGATAGGCTCACAGAAAATTGGCAGGAAAACTTGACTTGGTCACGCGCTGGAAAAATATTTTACGTGGGCGGATTGCAACGCCCACTTGTGTGTTTGTTGATCAATTAGAATCTGATATTTCTTGAAAATATTTACTAAGCTGAGTAGGCTCTCTGATTCATCTTTTGCACAAAAATGTACAAAATTCAATGTTTATAAGAAAGTGGTAGCAGAATGCTAAAACAGTATATAAAACAAATGACAATGTATGTATTAACGAAAATATACAATGACAAAGAAGAAAACATTTGAAGACCACACAGAAAACATTTAAACTAGATAATATGTATGTGTGTATAAATTGTGTATAGGAGAAGTTCAAAAGAAAAGTAATACGTTGAAAGTGAAGCAAACATGCCTCAGTGGGGAACACTTTTTTTTTACCATGTTCAACTACATCTTAGAGCTGGAGTTGTAAGAGAGGAAAGAATGGGTCAAAATATCATTATTTATTTATAGGCTTAAGGAGCATCCCCTAGTGACTTTTTTTTTAGTAAAGTGGGGTAACCCACACATTTACTCAAGCTTTTTCTATGTGCCGTTCCCTTTCAGGATGTTGGAAATCATGGCTCTCTGCAACTTCCTGTCCTTTGTAGCTCTTAATAATTTTTCTTTTTGTTATTTCTCCTAAACTTTGTTCCACCATCCATTTTATGAAGATTTTTTTTTCCTTATTTTAATTTTAAATTTTCTTTTTGTTTCCATTTTCTCTAAAATTTTGTTGCTGATCACATGTTTGGTCCATGTTATCCTCAGCATCCTTCTGTAGAACCATATTTTTGTTGCTTCAAGTCTCTTCTTCATCTTTGAAGAGATTGTCTAGCATTCGTTGTCATTTAGGAGGACTGACATCCCGTAAGAGTTCAGTATTCTTTTCTTTGTTTCCAAAGTAATTTTTTTTTCCGTTCCTGCTTTAGAACCCAGAGTCAGGGGAAGTAACACTGGTATTGTATCTAAGGGAGGTAACTTTGTTTTATACTTTTCAAACATGGCGGACCACGTCGCCACATGTATAGATGCTCATTGCCATTTAGTCGATCCACAGTTTTTACACGTAAGAAATAAGATGTTTACTGTGATTAAAATCAAGCAAATCATCTGTGTGGTAATCTTGTCCGGTTTTGTATTCCATATTATGTTTGTTTTGTAAGTTTTCTAAAAAAAAAAAAAAGCACAAACAAACGTTTTTTTTAATGTTTTTCTAGAGACTAACTGTGTGTAAACAAAACAGTAACATGAAAAAAGTTTGTGAATAAGTTCACGTTGTAAGTTATTTTAAACGTTTTATTGTTTGAAATGTTAAACTTAACAATATCTCAAATTCTTTCGGACGACAAATTGTACGGAAGAATTTGGGATAAGTTTTAACGTTTCAAACAATTTCTCGGGGGAATTAATTAATTCAAAGAATTTTTATTCCTGTCGTAAAAGAAAAATGTTTTCCAGAAATCTTAACATTCAACAAAAAAATTACTTTTTTCTTTTCTTTTTGCTTTTGTCAACTTATCTGTGAATTGAAAATTTTCGTGAATCCTTTTCAGAGATTAATTTAAATTCTAGTTTCTACTTAGAGAAAAATAATTGGAAATTAAGTTATTACATTTCGGGCAGTATTTTTAGTTTTATTTTCAGAATATGAGACTAAAAAAAAAGAATTCAGTTTTATGAGGAAATCGTTTGAAACGCTAAACTTAACAATTCCCAATTAATTATTTAAGTGTGATAACTTAGGATGCTAAACTATATATTCTCCTTATATTTTTCTCATCTCAGAATAAGTGCACAAACAGTATAATTATCGAATAAAAAATTGATTCCCAGATATGTTTGTCTCTCTCATCGACTAAAAAAGCATTTACTGAATGGATCTTACAGACTGTATTTGCCGAAGTCAAGGACACCAAGTTAAAATTTTTGAGAAAAAAGAATAGACATGAAAATAACGTCTCAGCACTTTCTCCTACCTTGCCAATTTTTTTCTGAGAGGTTAGTAACATGTCGATCATCTTGAACTGGAGTCTATCATTTTATTTTTACCCTTACAACACTGACAAGTAAGTTTACTGAATTCTCTCTAAGCAGCTATCGCCATGCTAAAAAATGCATTTCTGCAATATTTGAAACAAAGTAAGTAAATAATATTTTTTTTCAAATCAGATTAATTAAACTTTGAATCAGTTAATATTCTGCAAATAAAGTTTCAGAAATATATTTATTACTAGCAGTAGAGACAGGCGTTGCCCGGGGATGTAAGAGATAGATCAAGTATCGACCATCATAAAGACTGAAAAATAAAATTGACAAAGATTATTGTTTAAGGTTGACGGACACGCATGTCTTAATTAGTTTTTTTTTTTTGTTTTTTGTTTTGTTTTTTTACGAATTGGTCAAACCCAAACTCAAAGAAAAACATTGTTTTTAATCGTTATGAGTCTACTGATTGAATAGAATTTTATTATAAACAATTGTCTTGTAAATGGAATTTTAAAAGCATTCTGAATGTAAAAATGAAGAAAAAAAGTGTGCAAGACAATAAGAAACACTACCTGCCAAAAAAAAAGTGAAGTTTTGTTGAAATCGGTTGAAAAATGTAAGAAATCCGATCCCATATATAAACGTACAGACACACACACACAACAACCTGGGTTTTATAATAAGTATAACTATATGAGTTGTCCCCTTTCATTCTCGCGATGCCTCTTAATTGTGTTTTCAAACTGATTTTGTGCCAAAACAATTGTGTTTTTCCAATTTTTGGCGCTGTCAGAACCAGCGCAAGGCAATTTTACGTAATCCTGTGAAGTTTTGTTGAAATCGGTTGAAAAATGTTGGAAATCCGATCCAATATATAAACGTACAGACACACACACATACACACACACACATAACCTGGGTTTTATAATAAGTATGATTTTTGAAAGATTTTTTTTTTTTTAATAAAGAGAATTATGTTGTGATGAAAGATGGCTAAGAATGGTACTAAAATCAGTAATGTTTAGTGATTTCAGGATGAAAACTCCCAGTCGATTTAAATTGGTTTTGAAATACAGCAAAGTATTAAAAAAATTATTTTTAATTTCTGTATATTCCACCCTATGCGTAAAATTATAAAATAAGGTAAAAAAAAATGTGGACTGGTGTATGTGTTGAGAGATAAACACGTGTGTCTCCTGAAATGCCCACAACAAACATGGCAGACTCAGCATGTGAGTCCACATAAATAAATGAAAAGAAACGAATATATATGTACAAACAAATGATAATATATGTATTAACAAAACAAGGGCATAAATAAACAATAGAATATTGTTGTATGTTAATGAACAATGAACATGAATAAAGAAAACATTTAAACTAGTGAATTGTGTGTGTGTGTGTGTGTGTGTGTGTACTGGAGAAAATGAAGTGAAATGTGTGTACGTGCATTCATGTGTATGTTCCTCAGTGGGAAAGCATTTTCCTCCTTTGACCTACATCTTGCTGTCCCTGAGTGAAAAAGGAAAAAATATGTCGGAGAATGTCACTGCCTATTTATAGTCCTGAGAGTGTCTCCTATTAGTGGTTTTGAAAGGAGGTAACCTGACACCCAAAAATTATTTTCCTCTGGATATATAATGGTTTGGTTTGGTTTGTTTTACAGCATATCAACCTCAATGGGTTATTTAATGCCAATAAAAAATTTTATTACTGGTAATATTTTGTTTTGTCAAAATCTGTTTCTGGTAATATATTTCCTTCAAAAATTGTATTGCTGGTAATAATTTTTTTTTTCAAAAAATCTATTGCTGGTAATAGTTAACTATTTGCCCATAGCTGGGACCCTAACAGGTGCTACCACCCCAGGTCAGGGTGGACCTGGGAACACCAGCAATTAAGAGGTGGTTCCATGATCCTCAAAATCTCCTGATCAGATGCCTTGCTGATGAACGTAGTTTAATTACTTACCCAGGACAAGGATGTAGTTTAACATCTTACCCAGAACAAGGATATATAATGGACCTTCAGCTAATGTTTCAGTGAATGGAATAACATTGCTGAGAACAATGTATTGTGGAACTGGAGTTGCATTGCTTATTAGAAATATTACATTTAATCTATCAGCTTGAAATTAAAACTAAAAATAAAAGCTTCAAGAAAGATGTTTCATTTTTAAAAAATCATTTTAAACTTTAGGTATCATGTTTCTGTCAAGGTACCTAGTCTCAGATGTATAAAATACCAAGTGGGATATGTACCTGTAGTGAGTGCGGAATAATAACTAACTTCACCCACTTCAAATTCAGAAGATTGAGGAAGAAGTAGGAAAGGAATTTGCAAGACACTGAATTTTTTTTTTTACCCAATGAAAACCTTGCCTTCACAGAAATAATCAAGAAGAAGAAGGGAAATAAATTTGCAAGCTTATGTGAAATTCCTTTTGATATAAAATGAAGAGAAAAATTAAACTAATGAGAAAAGAGTGTCTGAAGTCATATGAAAGATTTTGTTTCTGTTCATCGCAATCTGCATTGAAGTTCTTGCCAGTATAAAATCATTTGCTGATTATCTTATCAGCCTCTAAACAGCATGCAACACTTCAAAGAATTTTCTCTCAATAATCCAAGAATGTTTTCAAACTATCTCTTTTCGTCTACTTTTGAATATATGTAAACCATATATCTCTTCAGTGAGCAGCAAACTACCTTTGTCTTAAATATTTTTGAATATTATTTTGTGTCAGATCATTTTAATCTGAATGTATAAATCTGCGGATAAATTCCTTATCTTGTTTTCTTGAAACTACTCATGTGTTTTCTCATCATTATTATCCTTTATTAATCTTCTTGGTGTGGGTAAATCAACTGTTCATTTTAAACCCTGAGCCTCACAAAAACCATATACCTATGGTAGAGCTGCATCAAACACAATGATACTCAAGTTCCACAATTCATTGTTTTTCCCAGCAGTATCTTTCCATTCACTGAAATATCAGCTAAAGGATCATTAATTTTATCTGGGTCTACCTATTTTTTAAAATTTTGCCCATAATGTGGAATATTCAGAAAGTAAAATTAAAATAAAACTTTACTTAAATGTAAAACGATAAAAAAAATAAACATTACATATATAAATTCTTTAATATTTGTCTATATCTCTGAGGTGAGGTATTATGATTATTTACATTATTTGGACTGTTATCCTCATTTTCATTGCCATATTCACAACGTTTCAGCTGTTGTACACCCCATTCTTCTTCAGGTGACTTGGATGAAATAAAGGGTTTGGTTTGAAATTCCGATAAACTGAAGAAGGCCAGAGTGTACAATGGTCGAAACATTGTGAATATGGCAATGAAGATGAGGATAACAGTCCGGATAATGTAAATAAATTCTTTAATATTTTCAAAGAAACAGAATCTTTATTTTGTTATCTCATATAACATTTTAGAAAATTTTTTTTTAAATAAAATTATTTATTTAAGAGAGATTCAATGAATTTTATAGAAGTATTTGGTAAATTTGATACAGATTTTTTTCTTCTGTAAATAAATTCATTTAAACAGTCTTTTATTTTGTTTTTTTTGTTATAATGATATTTTAATATAAAGATTTTATGGTAACTAAATTGTTTTTTGTGCAAAATATTAAAAATTATTTTTTAGGGATAGAATGGGAATGGGAAAAGAAAGCATGTCACTTCTTTTATTCTGGATGTTGAACAAGATACAAAAAAATAAAACCACTTGAATTTTAAAAGAACAATACATATTTAAAAAAATGCAGTATTTTACAAAGAAGAGCTTACACAAAAATATCCTTTTGTGTGTACCTTATTCAAAACTATGGTTGGATAACAATTCAAACAATTTACTTGACAAAGAAAGAAAGATTACAATTTTCAAAAATAAAAAAAAATTTGAGAATGCAAAGCAGAAATTTGATAAGGCAGAAGATGCAAAAAATGTGCATGCACTTAATTTGTAAGGCAGAATGGGAATGTCTCAGCATAAGAAAGAGCTTAGATAGATTTGAAATGGTTGATGGCATCTGGATTTGTTATATTTTTTCTTTTGTAGAAAGTTCAGTAAGAGTTAAGTTCCTTTAAAAAACTTTTCTCAGGAAACAAATATGAGCACCAAAATTTTAAAAGAACAATACATATTTTTTAAAAAATGCATTATTTTACAAACAAAAGTTTACACAAAAATATTCTTTTGTGCACCTGAAATTTTGAAAGGACAATACATATTTAAAAAAAAAAGATACAGTATTTTACAAACAAGAGCTTACACAAAAATATCCTTTTGTGTACCTTATTCAAAACTATGGTTGGATAACAATTCAAACAATTTACTTGACAAGGAAGGAAAGATTACAAGTTTCAAAAATTAAAAAAAACTTTGAGAAAGCAAAGCAGAAAAATGATAAGGCAGAAGATAAAAAAAAAGTTTCCCCCAACCTAATTTGTAAGGCGGAATGGAAATGTCTCAGCATGAGAGAGAGCTTAGATAGATTTGAAATGGTTGATGTCACAGGGATTTGTTATATTTTTCTTTTGTAGAAAGTTCAGTAATATTTAAGTTCCTTTAAATATTCTTCTCAGGAAGCAGCCCAAATGGAGTTTCCTTCTGGGTCCCTAATCTGCCTCCTGGTTGAAATTTTAGTGTCTGCTTGTCTTGGTGGTTCCTTCTCCATTGAGGGATTTATGACTCACTTCTGCTTTGGCATTTCCTTTCTGCTTTGAAATCTGAGTGTTTTCTTTCCAATCTTGTCTGCTGACCAGTTGCTATTTAGAGGCTCCCAGAGACCCTAATTTCAAATGTTATGAGGGCATGAGACCACATCTCTGATTAAATAAAATAATATATCCCTTGATTTGTGCTGCTAATATGTACATTATGTGATTAGGGCATGAGACCACATCTCTGATTGGTCCGTAAATAAAATAATATACAGTAATCCCTTGATTTGTGCTGCTAATATGTACATTATGTGATGAGGGCATGAGACCATGTGTCTGATTGGTCAGTAAATAAAATAATATAGAGTAATCCCTAAAAATAGAAAGGTTCTGATAACTCTAACAATTTCTTTTACAAAGGTTTTCTGGTTTTTCTGTCTTGTTTTCTGGTTTTCTGTAAAATACACTTCTCTCAAAATGTACATGTAAAATACAAACGTAGACAATTATAATATCTATTTATTTATACCTTTTAATTAATGATTAATTTTAATTATTTTACAAAACTAAAACAAAATTTTTATAAAGATTGTCCATAAAGTTCGTGTGCACTTTAAAAAATTTATAACTTTATTTGTATTTGTGATAGAAATAATTTGTAAAAAGGATCAGAAAGAAGTAAATCTATATTTTTTAAGGTTTTATTGAAATTTTATTTAAGTTTCCACATGTCTTCCATCATTAGCAATACAAAGGGTAATGCGATTTTGTAGTTCACAGAAAACATTTGCCAAATGATTTACAGTAATGCCTGAAATCACATTAGTTATTTTAGCTATACTTAAAACTAGATACATTAAACTTTATAACATTTTTTATAGATTATTTCTATCGCAAATATAAATAAAGTTATAAATTTTTTAAAGTGCACACGAACTTTATGGACACCCTTATTAACGCTCTTTATAACACTCCATGTTGCTTCAATAATTTGATTGTGTATTTGTCTGTTTGATGGATCTACAAAATTTGTTGAATGATTTTCTGAACTGTAAATTTGATGAATGGTTTGCTGAACTGTTGTGTCAATATTGATAAAATCTACAATTAAAAAGAGTAATGCAGGGTGTACATAAAGTCTCTTTAAAATTTTAAAATTTATTACAAAAGCAAGTGAACGGACAAATATGTGGAAATTGTTTAAAAATGAGTAGAAGATATTGAACTTTTTTAAACTAATTCAATACTCCTCTATTTGAGCACCATTGGTTGCACAAAGTACATGAAGATGGTACTCGATTTATTACCATGTCCGCTGTAGCATAGCCTCATCAATAATGGCAGTGGCCTCAGTGATGTTTTGCTTTAGATCAGTGATGTCCTGTATCTTTGTTTGATACACAATATCTTTAACATAACCCCATAGAAAGAAGTTTTCTAGTTTCCCTGTGTATCAGATTTTGTTTCAATAAACCTTGACACACATTATGCCTTTTCTTGAGGAGTAGCCATTTTTAGGGATTCATATAACAGTAACTCTTTTATAAAGAGGATATCTAAAATACACAAATACAATGTGATTAATAACTTTGATAACTACTGAGTACATTGAACAAATCTGATTAAGATATCTCATCTGTTGCCTTTGTAATATATTTTTTAAATTATAAAAACACTTCATGGACACCCTATATAACTTGCATGATACCCATTTATCATTTTATTTTTATGATACTTTATTTACTGCCTTGAATGGTGTATCTCTCTATATAAAACAGAGGATGTCTGTTTGTCTGTCTGTGTGATACCTTTTCACTCAAGATCTATCCAACTGATTTTGACCAAACATGGCACATACATTGTACAATGTAAGAGACAGGTTCTTAGCATCAAAAATCGATAATTTTTAAAAGATCAATAATCAATCCAAAATCGATAAATTCAACTTTTTTCCTCTGATTTTGTTCAAACTTGGTATGTAGGTTACTTACATCTTGACGAGCTCAATGATACCTCATTTTTATTTCTATGCCACTGCATTTTAGTGAAAAACTGCAAAAATTGAAAAATCGATTTCAAATTTTTAATTTTAAACTAAAAAAGCAAACTCAATTTTCAAATAAGTTGATTGTTTAACTAATACAAACTTCACTCAATTGCAGCCAATTACTGGTTTTTTTCTTATTTTTCATTGATTTTTCAACCAATTTTTATCAAACTTAACAATTGTTTTATAATTGTATCCTCTTTTACATCCCTGGTAGCACACTGACAAATTGAATTTCAAAAACTCCAAATTAATTATGGTCTGAAGTGGGTCTTCGTGTTGCCTGTTTTACTCCTTCATGTCCTCGGATAACTTTGATTGAATAAATACAGACTACTTCTGTTATATCAGTAACTGCATTAATTCTAAATGTTTTTTAATGAAAGTACTTTAATATAATTGAAGAAGATAAACTCTGTTACATCTAAATATGATGCTGTTTTTACTTCATTCTAATTGAATGCCACTCTTGATTGAGCAGCTGAATGTGGCTGCTCGGAATTCATAAAATTTAATTAAGAGCTCACATAGAGGAATTCAGTTTATTGTCTGGCATAGTTAACCTTCATCTGATATTAGCATAGGCCTCCAAAAACTTATGAAAACTCTAACCTCATCTTCAAGGATGCACTGCAAATTTTTTATACTTATTTAAGGAAAATAAAACTATATCCCTGATGCCGGCAAATATGGTACTTTTAACTATTTCTTAAGTTTAATTTTACCATGAATCTGAGGCACCCAGTGAGAATGAAAATCGCAACATAGTAATTAAACTGACAATAGCGTCGCTCATAAACCTTTTCTATACAGCACAACACTTAAGTTGCTTCAAGCATGAATTCAGTTTGTGATAGCGGTTCAAAATCTTTAACTAAAATTTCCCTTTTTTCAGGATATAAATGATGTCATAGACAGAGCAGAAAAGGTAAGAGTCACATTTATATATATTTTTTTTTACTATGTTTTTAACATTTAAAACTTATGTATCAGATGTTATCAGAAATTTACAATAGTATAAAGTGATCAATGATGTTTACCCTTTAGTGTATATCTTTGTGACAAGGGCAGATAACTAAACATTAACTTAACGATATTTCTGCGTGTGTAGCTACAGAAACTAAGGAATGGGATTAAAATCCTATTAAGAATGAACTGATACTTCACTCTAATCCAATATTTAACTGCCTCCTCATGCGGACAAAATATCAAACATGGTTTGAAGCCTACATTCATAGATGTGGGTAAAAAAAAAATTACCCAGATCCCACAACCAGTGTTCTTAAGGAATTGGAAAAGAAAGTGTGAGCTGCTCCCAAAAATATGAATGGATGTAAGTCACAATGATAAGGGAATGAAAGATTTTTCTATTTTTTAAGTTGAAATTTGATTTAGTTAGTATGGTGTATTCTGGGAGAAAGGGATTGTCTGTGGTCAGGAATGAAGGCAAGCATTACTAATTGAATAAAACACTTATATGTAAAATGTACATGTATTGCTAATGATTTTATTATAAGAATGCATTGAAAATTAGAAAGAAAGGGATTGTCAGTGGTGAGGAATGAATGCAGGCATTACAAATAGAATAAGGCCATGCTATGTATAACGTAAATGCATTGCTAATGATTTTTCTATTGAAAATCAGAAGGAAAGGGATTGTCAGTGGTCAGGAATGATGCAAGCATTACTGATAGAAAAGGGTTATTATATGTATAATGTAAATGCATTGCTAATGATTTTACTAGAGAAATTCATTGAAAATCAGGAAGAAAGGGATTGTCAGTGGTCAGGAATGAATGCAGGCATTACTGATAGAATAGGGCTATTATATGTATAATGTAAATGAATTGCTAATGATTTTACTATAGGAATGCACAATGCATTCCTAGAGTAAAATCATTAGCAATGTATTTTCAATAAATCAGAAAAAAATGAACCGTCAGTTGTCAGAAATAGAACTGGTATATATACTATAATTTGTTCTTTTTCTTGTTTCCCAACTATAGGTTAAATAGTAAGCCTTGTATCAGAAAATCAAAACATAATTATCCACCCTATTTTTTAAATCCAAAAATATATTTTGACTTAAATTAGCCTTGAAAAGTTTATTAACCATAAAAAATTTTATTGTTTTTTTTTCGTTTCTTTTTTTGTGTGTGTGCATTTGACAGGTTGGTGTTGCTGCAGCCTTGTGTGTGGCAATTATTCCTTCAGATTTTGAAAAGATCATCTCTCTAAGTGAAAGGTAAGACAAATTCTCCTCTTACCTCAGGCATGTTAACTCATTCATCTCTCTCTCTCGATTTTATCTTCATAGAATAAAAAAAAACAAATAGGAAGCGTTTATGTATCTAACATGTTTCGTTTTTATTAAAACTCCCTCAGAGAATGAGAGATGGAGGAGAAAAAAAATTCTGCTGTTTTAATTTTTGTTTTGATTGCTTTTCACTGGTTAAGCAGACCTCACATGCATCTGTCTTGTCAAGCAGCATTTGTGTGTATAATTCATGTGTGTATTTGTATCATAATTCTAGTTTGTCGATGCAGGATTCACTCACATGCAAAAACTCTCTAAATCAACATGCCAACTGAACAGAGATAAAAAAATTCTACTAGACACACTCATACACTCACATTATCATCCGAATCCTGTATAGACAAACTAGAAATATGACACACATGAATTATACACATGAATGCTGCTTGACAGGACAGATGCATGTGAGGTCTGCTTAACCAATGAGTAACAAATAACACAAAAATAAAAAATAGAATTTTATTTTTCTACTCCATCTCTCATTCTCTGAGGAAGCTTTAATCAAAGTGAAATGTGTTAAATTTATAAACATTTCTTGTTTGTCCATTATCCTATTATTCTGTCAGATTCGAATCCATGTTTTATCTACAGGGTGTAATGGGTTAATTGTCGCCATTTTATATTTTTAATTTTGTGTGTGTGTTGTTGGTTTTCAATTTTATCAGCTGCACAGTATAATAGGGTCGGTTGGGCACTGTCTGAGAGAAAAAGATTGCCTTGACTCTGCTAGAAATTTGGAAATGAGATTCTGGAAGCTCCACTATGAATATTTCAGAGTGTTTAAGAGTCAATCTGAAGACAGTGCAGAGTATTCGGAAAGAGTGATTGGTGTTTGGTGTGATCATTAGTAATGGTGATGTTATGCCTTCATTCATCTTTCCCTCCATATTCCATTGGCAAATTCCCCTCAAACAGCTTCTTCCTGTGAACCATTCCTATTCCTGTATTTGCTATTCTTATTCTATCCCCTATAGTATATGGATCTCCACGTCTTCTCTATACTCTTTCACTATACGAAGTACTATTAGTGCGAGTATTATTCTAAGACATCTGATATGAGTATTGTTCAGCTATGTATTATAATTGGCATCTGTGATTACAAGTCTCTGCTACTTTGGCATTAACGAAGTATCAAGCAAGTGTTCATTGTCATCATAACAGTGGCAACAAGTGGTCATTTTGATGATATAAAATACATTTACTATTTCTATAATGCAGTTCTTAAACTTATCTATTAGTAAAAAATAAAATAAGTTTTTTTTTTTTATTGAATAGCTATGGGGTCCACCAAATAAAATTAAAAGTAAAAGTTGTCCATGGTTAAAAAAAAGGTTGAGAACCACCGATATCATACTTATTATAAAACCCAGGTTGTGTGTGTGTCTGTTTATATATTGGATCAGATTTCCTACATTTTTCAACCGATTTCAACAAAACTTCACAGGACTACATAAAATTACCTTGTGGTGGTTCTGACAGCACCAAAAATTGGAAAAACATGATTGTTTTTGCACGAAATCAATTTGAAAACATGATTAAGAGACATTGCTGTTGCGAGAATGAAACGGGGACAACTCATATCGAGTTATACTTATTAATATCTTACTTATTATAAAACCCAGGTTGTATGTGTGTGTGTTCATTTATATATGGAATCGAATTTCCTACATTTCTACAAAACTTCACTTTTTTTTTTGTCAGGTTGTGTTTCTTATTCTCTTGCACACTTTTTTCTTTATTTTTACATTCAGAATGCTTTAAAAATTCCATTTACAAGACAATTGTTTATAATAAAATTCTATTCAATCGGTAGACTCATAACGATTGAAAACAATGTTTTTGTTTGAGTTTGACCAATTCGTAAAAAAAAAAAAAAAACTAATTAAGACATGCGTGTCCGTCAACCTTAAACAATAATCTTTGTCAATTTGATTTTTCAGTTTTTATGATGGTCGATACTTGATCTAGCTCTTACTGTTACATCCCCGGGCAATGCCGGGCTGTACTGCTAGTACTATATAATTTCTAAGGAATGATTGATCTGAAAAAATGGTTGTATATAGATCATAGTTTAGAGATTTCAGTATGAGTTAAATGTCATTGATGACATCCACTAAATTTGTTTAAGAATATGGCTCAAGTTCTCAGGTTGATATATTCAGGTATCATTTTAAAGTGTTAGACAAAATTTACCTTAGATTTTGTATCATCAATTATAGCATTAAGATAGATTTGCACTGGATATATTTTTTTTATAAGCATTTCACCCTAAGCTTGATAGGAGGGCCACTAGTACACAAGAGATCACAGAGAGTGAAAGTAAGAGAAAAGACTGAGTATAGGTGGGGGGGGGGATTGAGGAAAGGATAAAAAGCATTGGAAAATGTCGATTGACATTACATTTAAATTTTTGAAGATTATAGTTATCAGAGAAGCAAGTAAGAGGAAGGGAGTTCCACTGCCTGGAAGTGTGAGAGAAAGAAGCTCTTGAAGTAGAAAAGGTGGTTACATTTAACTGTTTAGACAATAAAAGGGTGGGAACGAGATGTCAACCTAGTAGCATGATTAAATTCATGCAGTTGGGGCACCAGTTAAAATAGATTGTCAGAACAGTTGCCATGAAAGTATTTATAGAAAAGACAGAGAGAAGCCACATCATGTTTGTGAGAAAGTGACTGAAATCGAGATGCCAGATCAGGACCTATCACATTGCATATCCGTCTTTGGATTTTATTGAGAACCTTGAGATGAACAGCTGGGTCAACTGACCAGATATGGCAACAGTATTCCATTCATAGACGAATGGTAGATTTGAAGGATGGACTCAGACAAGAAAAACCATCTGGTATGACATGGAGAACTGACTTTCCTTGCAGTAGATGCAGTTATTGATTCAATGTAGTTTTTCCACTTCATGTTAGTGGAAAACGTGAGAACAAGAAGACACAGTGAGACGCCCTCATGAAGTCAAGCACGAACCAATGCTGATAGGAGGCAGGGAAGTTTCTCTATGGTGGATAAAGGAGAGCAGTTTCGTTTTAGATGCTTTTAAAATTTACATGGCATTTCCTGCCTCAGTCAACCACAGAGTTGAGGTTCTTTTTGAAATCAATGGATAAGTTAACTTTGTCAGCAATAGCAGAGTTACTAACTAGACAGGAGTAAATGGTAGTGTTGTCTGTGTAGATGCCTACTTGAGAATTGATGTCATCAGGATGATTATTGATAAAATCTGGGATCTGTTTTCTTTTGTTATTAAGTCATAAACTGATGCCCAACAGAATTACTAAATATGACGATAATAATTAGAAAAATATATTTAATGATTGAGCAGATCCTTGGCACAAAAGTGTACTGGTCATACATACAAACAAATAGAATACTAGAATGGATAAGAAGGACCTGGGGATTGGGTAGATATTACAGTTTGATCTGAGGGAGAAAAATTTAACAGTCGTATACACCCTTGTGCAAATTAATTGAAACAAAAGGAATAATTCCGTTGTTATTTACTTTTTTTTTCATATTTTTCCAATGAAACATGACCCAGTACACATGTAAGTACTTCATATGTCCATTCCACAAATTCGTTCCTTGGATTTAAATCAGGATAGTTTCCAGGCCAGTTTATAGTACTTTGATTTGCTCACTGGTAAGGATTGCCAGTCTGTTTGTGCAGCATTACAATTTTTGTACACTTCCGTGGAGTAATATTCATTGCATAAAATGGCCAACTAATCAGCAGTCAAGACAATAGTGTCTGAGCATTATAAAAATCAGATGCAATAATGGATGACGCAATATTTTTCAAGCCCAAACAAATTTCATTGCACACTCTGAAAATAGATTCATATTACTGCACACCACTGCAAATGACCTAATCTGAGGAAAAAATAGAAATCAATCACACCCTGTCACTCCAGTGGATTTAAAAATGACTGTATGGTGAAAGAAAAGAAACTGAAATGGTTGTTTCAATTAATTTGCACAAGGGTGTATATAAACAAGCAGAATAATAGTATAAACGAGAAGGGCCAGGGATCAATCAGGCTGATATTACTGATATTGATCCAAGGTAGAAAAACACATACAAATCAATAGAATAATGGTATAGATTTTTGGTCATAAAGTGTGACAGATCCTAATTTTGAAATACCAAGGATAGTGTCACTTCTCAAAAGAAAGCGATAGACTGAATCTGCCAGAATATTTCGGTAATGATAGAAGCAACATCAAGTATGAGGTCAGAAGCCAAAACAGTTCTTACAATGATAATTACTATTTTCAGAATCCAAACATTTATCACTGCTTTTCTTTGTTGTTAATTTCAATTTTCTTTCTTTCTATCAGGTTTCCTCAGTTTGTGGTACCTTGTCTTGGAGTCCATCCTGTTCAGGTGAGTGTTTATTTTGACTGATATTAAACCCTTCAAGCAGTATAATTGCAATGAAAAGTAATTGAAATGAAGAAATTCTAGTCAAAAATGAATAATGTTTCATCGAATCAAAATTCCAGGTAATATTACTACTACTAATACTACGAGTGGAAATAAAGCAATTGAAATAAAGATGAAAGAAATCCTTGTGAAAAATGAAGAATGCTTAACATTGTTTCATCTAATCAAAATTGCAGATCATATTACTACTACTAAAACAGTAGTGGAAATAAAGCAATTGAAATGAGTATAAAAAAATCCTTGACAATGCTTCCTCTAATCAAATCTCCAGATATTATTACTATACGTTTGTTAACAGCCATAAACTGATGGTCAAAATAGTTGTGATACGAAGCAGGTAAAATCTATATGAAAGAAATACTAGTTGAAAATGTCTGTATATGAAAGTCAGTCTATTAATTCATAAGACACAAAACTAGTGACCTCTGCTTAAAGGTTAAGAGAGTACTGAGTTAGTTTTAGTTACTCATATGTAATGAAAACATACAAATTTACATGCATCTCAAGAGACAATTGAAGTATGGATGACCATAACATCATCATATGATAGTTAACAACAACATGACTTGTAATAACAGGAAATACTTCATCTATTCATGGATATGTGGTTAATATAATGGATAGAATGACAAATTGAAGTGCTGAGTTCAAATTCTAGTCATGATCATTACATTTACTTAAGAGTAATTACCCTTGGGAAAAGTATGAATTCATCTCCTCCTTCCATCTATGGGTTAAATAGTATGACCTGTATCTAAAAATCATTGTTATTTGCAATCCACATTATAATTTATTTTTTACTCATAACTGAGACTTGGAAAATTTCCAAAGCTTTATTCGTAAATAATCCTATCAGTTTTGATGGGTACTATGCTAATATGTTTGTCAGCACTGGCTTTTAAAATCCAGTTAAGTTTTTCAATACCTGTCTGTTTTTTTTCTAGCAAAATTTAATGAAACCAGGATTATTCTGCATACCTTACACAATTTTTAATTTCTTTAATCCGTAGAGCAGCAAACATGAAGCAAAACCCATCTTTTGACCTTCTGAAAATCAAGAACTGTGCAAAGAATTTGGCGAATGATGCAATCTAGCAAATTGTAGACAGACCAGGGTTGCCAAAAAATGTCTTTAAGAATAATTGAAATCAAGATTTTTAATGTTGTCTTTATAGCTAGAAAGGTTGACATGTAATTAATAACTCAATACAAACTTGATGGATAATTTGCTGAAGCATTTATCTATCTTTGTTCAGTAAAAATAAAAGTCACTATGTAATGACTCATATAATCCATAAATGTTTCTTTAAATACAATATTATTTAAATAGGAGTTTTACTTAAGTTTTACAGAAAATTGCAAGGAAAACTCTACCATTATCCATTTTTTATTTTTATTGCTTTAAACTAACATTTCTTTTTTCTTTTTTTTAATCACTTCAATAGTCAGGAATGAAGGCAAGCATACAATAAGGCCATTATATGCATGATATAAATGCATTGCTAATAATTTTACTATAGGAATGCATTGAAAAACAGGAAGAAAGGGATTGTTGATGGTCAGGAATTAATGTATAGAAAAAGGATTTTTTTAATAGATAATCAGTCAAATAGCTAATATCTTTTTGATTTCCGTTTTAGGATGAGGATAATCTTACAAGCAGGAGTGTCACCAATGAGGTATGTACAAGAGAGTACCAAAAGTTTTGTAGCTGAATCCATTTTAATTCTCTCATTCGCATTTTCTGTTCTCTAATTTTAATTCTTTTATTCTTAATTTTAATTCTCATTCAGGTATTCCTATTCTCATATTCCCTCATTTTAATTTTTTTAGTCTCATATTCCCTCATTTTAATTCATTTATTCCCATATTCCCTCATTTTAATTTTTTATTCTCCCATTCCCTCATTTTAATTTTTTTATTCTTATATTCCCTTATTTTAATTCTTTTATTCTCACATTCCCTCATTTTAATTCTTTTCCACTTCAGGATTTGGAACAAGCAATTCCTCTGATTGAGAAATACTCTGATAGAATCGCAGCCATTGGAGAGGTAAGATAACCATTTTTAATGCTCATTTGCTCCAGAAACCACACCTCAAAGTCTCAGACAAAAGCAACAACAATGAAAGGAATAATGAAAAATATTCACAAAACCAAAATTAAAACTATTCCAATAAACCTAAAAAATATGTCTTAAAATCTGTTTCTGGCTAATTCCCCAGTGATTTATTACATGTGAGATAATATATATATATATATATATATATATATGGCCTCTTGATTTGTTTATATTTTTAATACTGTTTATTATAAACAGAGCCTTTACTTAAATATTTGTATCTATAAAAAGAATGTATAAATATAAAAATGTCTTAAAATAATTGTCGGACAAATTTGTCCATTTCATAATGTGTGACGTCATTTGTTTACATTTGGATACGCATTGAGCAGATATGAATGTACGTGAGAGATTCATGGAAGATTGAAGTTCAAATACAGTAAATTCGACTTTGTTAACCGAACACACCTCTGTGGCCAAATCCGTAAAGACACATCAGGCTAAATGATGATTCCGTATAGGATACAGGTGTGATTCCTGTCAGAGGACAAATATTTTCTGTGAAAATTTCTCAGATACCCAGGCCGGTAAATGTTGTTTAATACTGTTTATTATAAACAGAATATTTACTTAAATATTTGTATCTCCAAAAAAAAAATTGTATAAACATAAAAATGTCTTAAAATAATTGTCGGACTTTGTCCATTTCATAATATATATATATATATATATATATATATATATATATATATATATATATACTAGCAGTAGAGACTGGTGTTGCTCGGGGATGTAACAGTAAGAGATAGATCAAGTATCGACCATCATAAAGACTGAAAAATAAAATTGACAAATATTATTGTTTAAGATTGACGGACACGCATGTCTTAATTAGTTTTTTTTTTTTTTTTTACATTGGTCAAACCCAAACTCAAACAAAAACATTATTTTCAATCGTTATGAGTCTACCGATTGAATAGAATTTTATTATAAACAATTGTCTTGTAAATGGAATTTTTAAAAGCATTCTGAATGTAAAAATAAAAGAAAAAGTGTGCAAGACAATAAGAAACATTACCTGCCAAAAAAAAAAAGTTTTGTTGAAATCAGTTGAAAAATGTAGGAAATCCGATCCCATATATAAATGAACACACATACACACACACAAACAACCTGGGTTTTATAACTCGATATGAGTTGTCCCCCTTTCATTCTCGACAGCAAAGCCTCTTAATCATGTTTTGAAATTGATTTTGTGCAAAAACAATTGTATTTTTCCAATTTTTGGTGTTGTCAGAACCACCGCAAGGTAATTTTACATAGTCCTGTGAAGTTTTGTTGAAATCGGTTGAAAAACGTAGGAAATCCGATCCAATATATAAACGTACAGACACACACACACAATCTGTGTTTTATAATAAGTATGATATATATATATATATATATATATATAATGTAATATTTTTGAACAGGTGGGACTTGACTTTATTTTTTTTTTTTGTAAATTAATGAAGAGAAGAAGACACAGAGAAATGTGCTCATCAAACAGGTAAGAATTTATGAAAATTAGTTAAAAAGTATTTTTTCCTTTTGTCCATGTGTGAACATTATCAGAAAAGGCCCCACCAATCCAAGGTTAAAGCTGTACAGTTTGGTATATTCATCTCTAATTGCCATAGATACACTACAGGCAAAAAGGAAAATTCATCAGAACAATTATCATGAAAGTATTTATAGAAAAGGCACAGGGAAGCTACATATAAGTGGTGGGAAAGTAGTTGAAGATGCCAGGTCAGGACCAATAACATTGCAGATTCTTCTTTGAATTTTATCAAGAATCTCTAAATATATAGCAGAAGCACCAGATAAGACATGGCAGCAATGCATGGGTGAATGGTAGACTTATAAAAAGGCTGACATTGCAAGTACAATTCAGTCCTAGTAGTCACAACTTGTACTAAGCAACTGCAGCTTTCAGCTAAATAGTATTGGTTGATCTGTACTAATGTAATTGCCTGTGTCATATATCATCCACAATCAGCCTCTGCATATCAAGTCAATGTATTGGTCTGTTGATGCTGCCTACTCCAGGTGTTTTTGTCATTGAGGTTTGCTTATCTCGGTGACAAAGATTTCATCTGGTTCCTACCCATTGATCCGTCTGGTTAGGTAGCACCTGCCAGGAGATAAACTGACATCAAACTAGCTCTAGGTCATTAGAGCATGCAAACCACTCCATCATGTCAAGGCACATAATCATGAAATAGAAGGAGAAAATACTGCAAATAATGTGTCATTTATACTTCAATTTTATGTTTTCATTTTGATTAAAACTTGAATTCATTTCTCTTAAAGGTTGAACTTGCAAAGAAATACAATTTGCCTTTGTAAGTATATAACTCCTTTGATGTAAGTAAATTTTTTGTTTTAAATTGAAATTACAAAAAGTATGTTTCCTAGATGGGGTACTTTTTTCTAGCACATGTGTGGAGTACCCAGTGAGGATTAAACTTGCTACTTGGTCTTCATTGTTCAAAGAATTTTACAAGTTTGTTAACCCTTTTTAAAAATCAAGTCCATACTATTATAGTGATTTACTAAACATAGAATGTAGCCCAAGGCTGAAAGTATGGGACACCCAGTGAGGTTCGAACTCACTACTCAGTCATAATTGATCTAGTGAGACAAGCTTGCTAACCATTACACCACATTTACTCCAGGTTTATAAAATTTATATTTTTGTTGTCGGTACCTGCCCACATCGGGATCATCATCCTTGTTCTCTGGTCCCTTTTCATGGAAGTAGAAGTAATTTGATCATAAAATATGATGGGATAGTTGGTGCTGACCTTCAAGGTCATTGAAGGACATTGGAGGTCATTGGAGGTAGTGGCATTTATAATCTGTATTGCAGCCAGGCAATTATATTCTTGGAGACAAATTTCTATGTGGAAGTAATTTGGACAGAAAATTCACTAAAATAGATTGAGAGCATCAGGATCTATACATTTTTTTCTTGAGAACTGACAACAAAAATGTTAAACACTATGTATTAGATTGTTTATTTACAAGAATAATTTTGGCAAAGACAGTATTTTTTTTTAAAAAAAATCTTTCATGAAATCTACATTTAGAATACTTTTTAACCTGGTTAATTTTAATCACCTTCAACCATTTTTTTTTTTTTTTTTAGAATGTTCATTTTTGATCAAATTTTTTGGCCAACAATTGCATTACATATGAAAGAAAAAGGTTGATTGAATCATAAAATTGTTGTAATAAAAAAATATATGTTAATCTTACTTAATGAGCTCATTTCATAGAATCTTCATCAATGCCTGTAGCCAAGCAGACGATACTTCTTTAATCTGACACCCTTGGGACCAAGCCAATGCCGGACCACAGAAAAAGATGAATAACAGATATCATCCCTAAAAAAACATCTTTTTAAACATAAAAAAGGTTTGTAAAATTCCACATCTGTGTTATCAAAGGCAGATGGAAGTTAAAAAACAGGAAATAAAATAATCGGTTTGCTTTTTAAACAAAAAAAAGATTGTTTTTTTATTTTTTAAAAAGTTTAAAAAAAATTTTTAAATCAAAAAAATAATATATACTTATTATTGCAAATATGCAGTTATACAAGAGGCAGATAAGAGAGTATTACTAAAACACTCATCTGCTGTTGGCTGCTGCAGAAAATTTTATTATCCTGCAAAAATTAAAAAATATTATAATATTGCCACAAAATGAACTAATGGTGGTTGATTCAAAAAGTGCCAGATCACGGTGTACCATATTAAAGAGATCAGACTGAACCACACTTTATGGGTGTACCTCCAGAAATATAGATGACAAGCTCAATAGTGGAAAGATTATCTTGTATCATCAGTACCTCCAAAACAAAGCTAGTAACGTTTTTTTTAGAGCAGACCCATCACCACAGAGCAGACCCTAAATTTTCTCCTGCCATCATGAACAGCTGTACTTTCCATGAAGCCCTTTGCTTGAAATATTTATTTGAAGTAAAGCTCACTCCAGACCTCAAATGGAAGTCATACATATGAACCATCCCTAAAGATGCTGGAAATATGGTTTTTTTTTTTTTTTAAAAACCAGTTGAGGTATATAATCCTCCTTTACTTCATTTGCCAAAAGAGCCAGATCAGACTTTAAAAAATAAATAAATGGATTTATAATTTTTCTAATGAACTTTTTTTTATTTTTTTTAATTCTACATATGAAATGAAAGTTATCCTGAACTTGTCGAGATCCTTTCAGACTAAGGCAGGGTGCCACCCTTGGTCCTTGTTTTTAATTTTCATTAATGACCCTCCCGACAACATCAGATCTTGGCATCTATGCTGATGACACCACCATTTACTCCTGGCAAGATAGTAAGGCTGATCAGTATGACAAGTTCAAAATGGCAGCCAATGTTTAAAATGATGTCAAGTCCATTGTTAATTGGGGCAAAAGATGGCTTGTTAATTTCAATGCCTCCAAAACTAAACTTCTCTCTTTTAATCATCTAAGAGACCCCCTCTTTGCCTTTCATCAGCATGGCTGATGCTAACCTCTGGCAAAGTGACATTGAACCTTCTTGGGTTCACGTTCTCAGCTAACATGAAATGTAAAGACTATATTCAACCCATTGCTAGGTCAGATGCTAAGAAAGTTGGTTCACTATGTTGTGCAAGACAATTTTTCTCTCCAGAATTTATCTTACATGTCTATAAGTCTGCCATTCTTCCATGCTTAGAATATTGCTGCCACATGATCTGGTGCCCTCGTTATTTACCTTGAGCTTCTTGATAAGAAGAATCAGCAGTATTATTGGCCCTGATCTGGCAGCTCAGCTTCAGTCACTTTCCAATTGCCGTAAGGTTGCTTCTCTGTGTCTTTTCTATAAATACTTTCATGGTAATTGTTCAGATGAGCTCTTTGCAATGGTACCTAGACTTCATGAATTTAAGCACAGTACTAGACTGGTGGTGAGATCTCATCAATTTACAGTTGAGCTGGCTAGATGTAGTCATAAGTTTTATGCTAACAGTTTCTTTTCTCACACTTCTTGCTTGTGGAACACTTTTTCGACTCTTTGCTTTCCAGCCAACTTTAATCTGCAAAAATTTAAATGCAATGTCTATCACTATCTACTGTCTTCCTGATTACTTTTGGCTTATTATTAATGTTTCTGTTCTTAATTCTTCCATACCCTGTAATCTTTAGCAGCTTTACTGCCTTGCTTGGGGTAATACCTATTAAGAAGATAAATATGGTATTATTGTGGTATTATGGTGGCTGTAGTAAGAATGGTAAGTAAGAATGTGTTGTTTTGGTGTAAGGAATACTTTGGTATGTTTGGATCAGTAATCGTGGCTAGCTAACTTTAAGATAAGGCAAAATGAAGACTCATCTTGGGTTTGATGATAAACTACATCTGTGTCCTGGGTAAGACGATAAACTACGTTTGACGGCAAGGCCTCTGTTCAGGAGGTTTTGATGAGCGTGGAACCACCTCTTAATTGTTGGTGTTCTCAGGTCCGGGATGGTAGCACCTGTCAGGATCCCAGCTATGGGCAAATAGTTAACACTATAAAAGAGTAAAAATAAGTTTTAATAACAAATACTTTTTTGTAAAAAATTATTACCAGCTATACATTTTTGAAAAACATATTACAAGCAATATATTTTTGGAAAAAAATATTACTAGCGATAAAAATTTTGTCAGCATTAAATAACCCATTGAGGTTGATACACTGTAAAACAAACCAAATCAGATTGAAGACTAGCCTCCCCCTCATCCCTCTTTTGGCCTTGTGCCACATTTTTATATTTGCAAAATAAATATTACTTTCTATTTGTTACCTAGACTTTATGAATTTAGGTACAATCCGAGATTGGTGGTAAGGTCTCATCATTTTACAGTTGAAATATCTAGATGTAATCATAAGTTCTATGTTAATTCTTTCATCTGTTGTGTTTATCACCTGTAGAACTCTCTTCCCACTTCTTGCTTTCCAGTCACCTTTGATTCTTAAAAATTAAAATTAAACATCAATTGTTATCTTCTGTTTTCTTAATTCCTGTTCTTTTATTGTTCTCATTCCTTAATAGTATTTTTGTCATATTCTCTAACACTCGGTAACCCCTTGCATCCTAGTGGCTTTATTGCCTTTGATCTTCAAACACTTAAATGCAATGTCAATCATTATCTTCTGTCTTCTTAATTCTTCTTCTTTTATTGTCCTCTCTCCTTAATAGTAGTTTTTCTCATATTCTCTAACATTCAGTAACCTCTTGCGTCCTAGTGGCTTTATTGCCTTTGATCTTCAAACATTTAAATGCAATGTCAATCGTTATCTTCTGTCTTCTTAATTCTTCTTCTTTTATTGACCTCTGTCTTTAATAGTAGTTTTTTCTCATATTCTATAACACTCAGTAACCCCTTGCATCATAGTGGCTTTATTGTCTTGCTTAGGTTGAAATGATTAAAAAAACAATGTTTCTCCCCTACCTTATTTTACCAGATATGACTAGATATATAGAGAGTATATCTTGCTAAATTCAGGTGCCAAAAGTGTGCTGCTTCATGCCTTTGATGGTCGACCAGCCGTTGCAATGGAAGGTGTCAAGGAAGGTTATTATTTTTCTATTCCTCCTTCAATTGTGAGAAGTGAACAGGTAAGAAATTTAATTTGTGATTTTCATGCACCACCTGTAATTCTGATTAGAAATTCTCTTATTGTTTATAATTTTATTTTTTTAAGGTACCACAATTGTAATGAACAGTTATGTAGAAGCAAGCAAGTCAGAGTGGCTTGCATCTGATGCAAAGGAAAATAAGTTCCTTACCTCAATAGATAACATGTAGCAGAAGCATTTTGTTCCTTGAAAATGGTATGAATCTCTCCTCCTCAATTTAGATTATTCCAAAAGTGTATATTCTGAAATGGTTTTTTACAGTTTAGCATGGTTTGACCAATAGCAAGTCACGTGCTGATTGATCAGACTGGAGGATGCCATTTGACTGGGTAACTAAGGACAAAGCAAAAAACACTAATTGGTTACTCAGTTGTGGTGTTGGTATGATAAAAGAGGGCTGAATCAGTGAGGGAGAGGGTGATTTTTACGTTGGTGAGGTGTACGAGAAATCAAGAACGATGGATTGAAAAAGAAGTATTTAGTGTTGTATGAGCAACGTCAGATGAACACAAGTTCATTTACTCTACAACAATTTAAAAAATTGATTAGTTTTCTAATTCTGATTAATTGATTACAGGTTTTTCATTTACATCACTTTACCTGTCTCTCCTATTTTCGTTTCCTATTTACCTGTCTCTCACTAATTCATTCAATTTCACACTCTATTTACATTCATATTGTATATTTCCACATATAAGGCAACCTTTAAATCCTAAAAATTACTCCCAAATAGGAGGACAGCTAATACAACAGTTACAAAAAGCTAACCTTAAATCCTATAGTGTATCGGTCTTGTTAAGTAGGCTAGTATACTTGCCACATGGATCATGGTAGTCTAACAATTGCCTCGGTATGGTTACTACTAATGTAAATATTTCTAGTTAAATGATTCACGTTATAATGCTGTACTATATTTATAAATGTAATAAAACTACTTTTACTTATTTATTTCACATTAAAATACAATATTCAAGAGACGATTACACAATTTGCAAAAGTTACACTGAGCAACATACACAAGTAACATATAATGTAAGCAAATCTTTCATTCTTGAGTTGTAGATTTATGGGTGTGTTCACACCAATCATTATTTTTCAGGGTCGTGTTAACTAACATTTAGGGTAATGTGTGTGGTTCTAGTTCTGTGACTACCACATGTGTTTCTGATTAGTTGTTCTGTCAACTCCTATGCCTATGCTGTGTTTAAAAGATCCACAGAAGGGAGATGACACAATTCAGCTGAAACTTCTGATGGTCAGCATAGTTGCTAGAAGTTGCTAGAAGTGTCAGAAACTTAAAGAATCAAGCAAGTCTCAGTTAACAAATAACAAAAATGTTTATTGTAACAAGATTGTGAAACAATGCATAAAGAATAGAAAATTTTAATTTCTGCCATTTGGTTATTGAAAGAAGATAGTTCTTTTCAAAAAGCATTAATGTCGCCAAGTGGGAGAGAAAAGAGACACGGTGAGAAGTTTTGGCAGCACTATGGTCTTATGCTAATTAGCATGTGATTATTGTACTTGGTTCAGAGTCTGGGATTTTCTTCAATAAGCCAGACTTCACAATATCTTCTAACAGCTGGAGCAAATCTGATGTCAGAAGGGATAAATATGCTTCTTGACTTTTCGTCTCTGGTCTACTTATTGTAAACTCATTGCTTCAGCCTTTATGGATGAAAGTTTTGGACCAAAATGGCTTCTGATTAGTGATTTAATTAAAGACCATTTTGTATTGAGTTATAATTTATGGAAGTGGTGGTGGGGGGGGGGAGATGAATAGTATCTTATAAATGCAATTTTTTTCTCAGACCCCCAAAACATTCAGGAGAGTGTATATATTTTTAATAAGATTTCTTGAATATTCAGGCAGTAGATGAAAATAAATAAATATACTGTTTAATAAATAAATAGAGTATCATCTTAAATCTGGGTATCTACTAAAATTAACATTTAAGTAATAAAATCTGTTGGCTTAATAAATAAAAAATCCATTACTTCTTTAGAAATTGCTTTGCTTACATTAGGATTCAAAACTGAGCAGATACAAGAGTCTGGGAAAGAGATGAAAATAAATAAATATACTGTTTAATAAATAAGAGCATCTCCTCAGATGTGGGTATCCACAAAAGATAATGTTTAAGTAATAAAATCTGTCGGATTAATAAATAAAAATCCATCACTTCTTTCTAAAATACATACATACATACAACAAACAAAATGTCCTTAGCAACTAAAAGAATTTAGAAAACGCTATTGTATTCATATTGTCAACTATATGAATACAATAGCATTTTCTAAATTCTTTTAGTTGCTAAGGACATTTTGTTTGTTGTTAATAGTTACTTTGTTTTCAATAAATTCATTTTGTTTTTGCCTTAAAAATGTCCACAATGGACAAAATGTGTTGGCTAATAATACAGTTTCCCTATTTTCTTTTACCTTTATACGCATGTATATGTAAAAAATCCAGAAAATTTTGTGAAACATGATAGCTAACACATACCCCCACTGTAACCCTAGGACCCACCCAAATGCTAACCCTAACTTTTTTAATTAAATGTGACCAGTTGTTGTAATAAAAATTAGATATAAAAAAAAATATATCTGTTGCCCAACATGTTTCATCAACTGATAGACTTCATCAAAGCAAATGTAACCAATTTTTGGAGTATAAATTCAATTAAACAAGCAGTAATAGCAAAAGATTAATAGTCAGAATTCAATAAAAACTGAAAGTAATTAGTGTAATTGTTATAAAATAAAATGACATATCTCGGCTGATTTACAGGCAAATACTCAAGAGCGAGAATCGGATGTGAACGGGACAAAGCCCCATCACAAAATGACCATTATCTTTCTTCACAAATGTTTCCGACACACGTGTTCAGGTCGAAAAATAAAATAATATTTAAAGTGCTCTATTTTTCGTCCAATAAAAATGCTTCCCTCCTAATTATACTCGCTTCGTTTCTCGATATATGGTACCTATTCTGAACATAGTAAATGCTTGTAGACTCAAATATAAATGACCAATATTTACCTGTTCCTGAACCTGGTCATTTATGGTTGAGCCTATAAGCAATATTTACCTGCTCCTGAACCTATTAAATGCTTATAGACTCAACCATAAATGACCAATACTTACTGTATATACTTGTGTATCATGTGACATTTGAAAAACTAATTTAGAGGTTAATTTGACAGTAAGTGAATATATAGTTTGGTCAACACCGTAGCCAGTGCCAGCAGTACATATGCTATATTTTATATCTCGTGTATGATGTGACACTCTTAATTTTAGCTTCAAAATTAGACCTTTAAAAGTCACATGATAAGCGTGTATATATGGTACCTATCCTGAACCTAGTAAATGAGTAAATGCTGAAATATAAATGATCAATATTTACTTATTTCTGAACCTAGTAAATGAGCAAAGGCTGAAATATAAATGATCAATATTTACTTATTTCTGAACCTAGTAAATGAGCAAAGGCTGAAATATAAATGATCAATATTTACTTATTTCTGAACCATGAGAATGCTTATGGATTGTTTCTGAAAAGACTGATTTTGATATTAAGTAACTGAATATGTTTGAAACGCCATAAATTCAACTAAAGCATCCCAATCTTATCTACAAGCATCTTCTATAATTTTCTTGGACTGACTCATTTCTCATATAACAGGATTTCATTGAGTAAACATCAACACCCCTTCTATCCCAGTCTATCTATCACCCTAATCAAACATTTTAATATTGTTCTACTTTTATTCCAACTTAACATTTTTTCTTGTTTCTACTTTTCTTTGTATTCTTTCAAGAAGCAGAAACTTGTAAGGCAACTCCCATTGGAAAATTTGATCCTTGAGTCTGACTCCCCTGCCCTGGGGCCTGAAAAACAGGTGAGAACAGCAGCAAAATTGATACAGACATTTCCCTCCAATGGGTTTCTTTTTCAAAGTATAAAATATTTTGAATGAAATTTACCATATTTTAGACACAAATATTGATTGTAAAAATCCTTGGTTAGTGAAATTCTATAATGAAAATCTTTAGTCAATGCATTTCTATTACAAAAATCTTTGCCTAATGCAATTCCTTAGCAAAAATACTTGGTTAGTGCATTTCTATAGTAGAAAACACTGTATTTCATAAGAAAGAATTCTTGGTCAATTTAAAATCTACAATAAAATTTCTATAATAAATTCCCTAGCTAATCAAGCAAGGCAACAAAGCCACTAAGACACAAGGGTTTACTGCTTATTAAAGAATACGAGAAAAAAAAACACTATTAAAGAGAGAGGACAATAAAAAAAGAAGAATTAAGAAGACAGAAGATAACGATTGACATTGCATTTAAAGTTTTGAAGCTCTAAGTTGACTAGAAAGCATGGAGTTGGAAGAATGTTCCACAGGTGAGAAGTGTGATAGAAGAAACTTTTAATATCTGTCTATATTTCTGAGATGAGGTGTTGTAATTATTTACATTATTTGGATTGTTATCCTTATCTTTCATGCAATATTCACAATGTTTCGACCGTTGTATGCTCTGGCCTTCTTCAGATGATTGGAATTTTGAACTGAAACCTTTATTTCGTCCACCAGGGTAGGATGTTCTAGTTCCATGTGCCATGAGTTAAGTTCAAAATTCCAATCACCTGAAGAAGGCTGGAATATAGAATAGGCGAAATGTTGTGAATATGGCAAGAAAGACGAAGACAACAGTCCAAACAATGTAAATAAGAGACTGTTAGCTTAGAATTTATGGTGACATCTAGCCATTTCAACTGTAAAACGATGAAACCTTGCTGCCAATCCAGTACTGTGCTTAAATTCTTAAAGTCTAGGTACCATAGAGGAAAGTTCATCAGAACAATTATCATGAAAGTATTTATAGAAAAGGTAGAAGAAAGTTATGTCACAGTGGTGGAAAGTGATTGAAGCTGAGATGTAATGTCAGGACCAATAACATTGCAGATTCTTTTTTGGATTTTATCAAGAATCTCTAAATATATAACAGGAACACCAGACGAGATGTGGCAGCAATATTCAAAGGTTTTTAGAAATGATCAATAAGTGATGTTTTATTTTTTTACATAGGATATCATTAAGAATTTTTTGTAAAAATGAACTGACCATATATGCTACTAATTTTACTATAGAAATGCATTATTTCTGTCTGAATTTCTAGTATGACAAGTTATCATTATTTACACTATTTATATCTGGACTATTGTCCTCATCTTTGTTGTTATCACAACGTTCCAGCCATTGTACTCCCTTACCTTTCTCAGGTGTATGTTGGTCTAGATAACCTACAGAGAATTCCAAAGTGAACACTTTATTTATTCAATGGGGGTAGACTTCTTGTTCCACTATCCATGTATAAATGGATATCTTACCTTAGAGCAATAACTGAGTGGTACTAAAAATAAGAACTAGATGCAATATACTTAGACGTGATTAGTGGAACAAGAACAATCTGCCCTTATAGATTAAATAATGGGATCAGTTTGGAATACCCTGTAGGTTACCTGGAGTGACATACGCGCCTGATGAAGACTGGAGGGCATAATGGCTGAAACGTTGTGAAAGCAAAAACAGAGATATTGAAAGTAAAACAAAAATCACTGACCATTTCTAAAAATCTGAGCTATTTCAGAATTAACTACCAAAAATAATTTCAATAAGACTCCCTCACCTATTTTTCAAATTTTGTGCCATTAACTTTTGTGTTTTTATTAACAAAAACATTAACTTTTTTTTAAATTCGAATAAATCTGCCCTGATTTAAAAATGCATTTTTTCTTTTTTTTTTGCATTTCCAGGGGAGAAATGAACCAGCCAACATTGGAATATCTGCAGAATATATTGCGAAAATTAAAGGTGTTGATGTCAGTAAAGTATTGACATTGACGACAGAAAATGCTCTAAAACTCTTTCCAATGTTGAAAACTCTTTTACGATTCAAGTAAAAATTTTAGATGTTTATTTTTCTGCCAAAAATAAAAATTGGAATTATACAAATGTTTGATTTATTTTTATTCTGCACTTAATACATTTTTTCTAGTAATGTGTTTATTTTAGATGTACACAAAAAGGGTACTTAAAAGTTCTCAGTCTTCACCACTGCCCAAAGTAATGACCCCATTGTTTTACCTCTTTTAAATGTGTTCTTATATATATGTAGGATACAGGTTCAATTCCTGTCAGAGGACACATTTTCTATGAAACTTCCCAGACATTCCGACCTGTAAATGTTGTTAATAATGTTTATTATAAACAGAGCATTTACTTAAATATTTGTATCTATAAAAATAATGTATAAACAGAAAATATATTAAATAATTGTTGGACTTCATCCATTTCATAATATATATATATATATAAGTTTTAATCTCCCACCTTCTCTCGTCTGTTACCCCTCTCTTTAGCTCTAACATTCGTCCCACACTTAAATACTTAACTAATCTAAATTTATTTTTTTTTTTGAGTTGTTTTTTTTTTTCTTTTGAATTTGTAGGTCTGATGAATTGATCGTATTTAAAAATTCCAATGGAATAAATTATGACCATGGAATATTAGTGTTTAAAAATCTTTTATTATAGCCTTACTCTGTCCTGGACATTGAGTTCTACCTGGATTCTATCCTCTTGAATTGGAATTTTTTTATTCAAAGAATATACATGTATGTGTATGCACCTATGTATATATATTTATATATTTTGCATATGTATGTATATTTACCACTAATATTATCTATATATATATATATATATATATATATATATATATATATATATATATATATATATATATAATTAAATTTAAAGAGCCAGACAACCCACCATGGTTTCAGAATTATTAGCAGATTGTCAGGGATAAAAAGTGTTTTTTTTCTTTGAACTCTAAATTTGGATGCTAGACGATTATTTTTGGATGACATACATGTTCTTGGTTCTTTTTTTTTTGTATCTTTTTTTCCTCCTTTTTGGTATTGGTTTGTTTATTTGCAAATCAAGACAATTTAGGGTTTCAAAGATAAGTATAATTTATAATTTCTTATATTTATGAAAATAACTCATGTGTGTATATATATATATATATATATATATATATATATATACATTTAAAATTCTCCAAATTAACCAGTAGAGAGACAATATTTATGAATAAAATGACAATAGGAAAACTTGGTAATTGGTTGAAATTTTTGTCCAATGTGGACTTTAAAAAAGCAAAATACAAAAATGAAATTTAAATGAACAAAGTAACTAATAAAAAACAAAAAAATTTGGATGAAACGCATCAGCAAAAACCAGTTTTCCTATTTTCATTTTTATTCATAAATATTGTCTTCTACTGGTTAAATCGGAGAAAAATTTTTAAAATATATATATATATATATATATATAGTCATGTCCATAAAAATGAATTATAGTGTCAAAATTAATTATAATAAGATAATTAAAACAATTATAATTATCAATAATTCACTCATTCTAAACCAATGAGAATTTGACAATTATTTTCTCCTCTACAAACACAAACACATGACATTCTCACTATTGGACAGGCAGTCAACATGGACATGTCGTTAACACATGCATCAATGAAAATTTCAGCTCCTTTTTCTTTTTATGCCATAATAGTAACAATTATCTCTTAGCACTCAACAAAAATTTGAGGCAAGAAAACCTCAGACACTTCTTGTATTTTTACAACTAAATTATGTAGACACTCATTACACACATCTATAAAAACATACGAGAAAGACTGTATACACTTTGCTTATTCTTTATCTTATCATTCTGTCAGATTCCAATCTATATTTGATTTGCATTTGACCCCAAACTCACAATTTTACTTAGTATTACTGTCTTGTGTCTCCAACACTACATAACAACCAGATAATAAATAATACTTGTTTTGTTGTTTCTCCTTTTTATAAGTATTTTTGTATTTTGTATATATACATGCCAGAAGGTTTCTAATTATTTACTCAGTGTTAATAGCAATAATAAAGAAGTCATTTTGAAATGGGAAATATTAAAAGATATCCTAAATATAGAGCAGGTAACAAAATCAGCAATTTTATGTCTAGAGGAAAATTAGCAGTATCTATTTATAAATTTTGTGATCATAAACTAAATTCTAAAACTGAAATTTTAAGTAAATGTAGACAAAAAAATGTTGGTTGTTAAATTAGGCCCCCTCCTCTTGTTTTTTTTTTTTTTTTTTAACTTGATTTTATCTTGGAATAAAGGTTTACCTATCCCGTTGTCTGTGTTTTCTTTTTCTTTTCTTTTTCCGGTTGCGTTTCTTTGTTTTGGTCACGTGGTCATGATTTTGGGTTTGTAGACTATATATTCTGTTCCCACTTTACCTCTTTAGCCAGAAATCCCTGACGATCCACTTTGGTGAAACCGTGGTAGGTTGTCTAGGTGAACTTTTATTAACTTAGGCTTTGCTCTATCTTTTGGAATTGAGGACATTATTTAGTTATTTTTCTTACTTGTATTGGGGTTTTTTTTTGGACTCTGAACTAAGAATGCTAAACGATTATTTCCGCCTTAAAGACATTTCTTTGTTCTTTGTTTTTGTTTTTTTTTTTTTCCCATTTGTGTTTGATTTGTTTATTTGCAAATCGAAAACCAAAGGTTTTCCATTAATGGAGTATAATTTCTTATATCTATAAGATTATAACTAAAAGTCATATATATATATACAATTTTTTTTTTCACCTTTTAGATTGATCCAAACTACAGAGAACCAATATTATTTATGAATTTACATGCCCCTTAAGGAATTACGTTCCTGAAGAAAACAAATTTATGAATAATATTTGCATCGGACATACAACTACATGCTTATCAAGAAGACTTACTTTGCATCTCCCAGATCATAGGAACTATAGTGGTATGGGCTTAGGGGTTAAAATGAACAGTTGATTTACCCACATGAAGAAGTTTGATGGTAATGACTAAGAAACACACAGGTAGTTTTTGATGAAATAAGAGAAGGAATTTATTTATAAATTTACATGATTCAAGTAGTGTCATTAGCTTGTTTCAGGAAAATAAATAAGGAATTTTTAAAGTTCACAGTTTTAACAAATTTTCATGAAGAGGAAATGTTCACACAACAGATTGAATAATTGTATTGCTGCCATATATGGTCCGGTGCCCCTTATGGTTGTCTCAAGGTTCTTCGTAAGATCCAGAGACGGATATGCAACGTAATTGGCCCTGATCTGGCATCTCGTTTGCAGTTGCTCTCTCACAGACATGCCGTCACCTCCCTCTATCTTTTTTACAAATACTTTCATGGTAACTGCTCTGAGGAGCTGCTTTCGCTGGTTCCCAGACTTCAGAAATTTAAGCATTCATTTAGGCTGGCATCTCGCTCACACTCTTTCACTGTCAAAACTGTTAAATGTAGCCATCTCTTCTACTCCAATAGCTTCATATCTTGCACCTCTCGCCTATGGAACTTCCTCCCCTTTTCCTGTTTCCCTGATAGCTATAATCTCCAACTATCCATGTGTAATGCCAATCAACATCTCCAGATGCCTTGATCTATCCCCTATCCTTCTCTTCATCCTTTCCTCTATCACTCCTATCTACTCCCACTCCAACTCTCTGTAATCCCTTGTGTGCTAGTGGCTTCCCGCCTTGCTTGGGGTGAAACGCTTAAAAAAAAAAGTATTCAAAATGTTTAAGACAAAAGAGTTTGTTGTTGAAAAGGTTTCTGGATCTGAAAATGTTTGCATTACGTCAAAAATGAGACAAAGAAGATTGGTTTGAAATTGTTGTTAAAATTTTGGATTCTTGAAAAAAATTCTTTGAAATGCCATGTGCTAGGTTAAAAACCAATGATAATTGGCAAGTAATTTTACACTGGCAAGAACTTGAACACTGAATGCAGTGAATAGAAATTAAATTTTTCATATGATTTCAGGCTCTCTTCTCTTGTTAATTTAATTTTTTTTTATTATTTTTATATCAAAAAGATTTTATCATAGACATACTATTTTATTGGCTATTATGGCTAATTTCTAAGAAGATTTATTTTTTTTTAAAAAATCAAACGCAATTTCATTAGTTTTTTTTTTTAATTTCCATCTGGTTCTCATACCAGCCTATAATAAAGTAAGGTTTTCATTGGTCCAAAAGTAATTTCAGATAAAAAATGTAAATTTCTTTCTATATTTTTCCTCAGCTTGCCTGAATTTGAAAGGACTGAATAAAGGCTGTTATTATCATTTTGTACTCATGACAGACTCATTTATTTCCAACCTCTATCTACAATATATTTGTACAAAACCTGAACATAATAGCATCATTCACATGCAAAAATCTGTTAAAAATAATGGTGTTTTGAGGTTTCAGGAAAACTGATTTATTGCTAATAGGCAGAGACAGGGAAAGAGACAGAAGGTAACAAAAATAACACTGCCTCAGAAACCATAGCAACTTTAAGAAGAAAATGTCCATGCAACCAACTTCACAAGAGACCATGTCTTCCCAACTGTGGAGTTTTCTTGTTATGTTACGTGTTAATAATTGTAACAAAGGAAAAAAAAATGATTTACCACAACACAGAGCTAAATCACAAACAAATATTTCATTTACTAAAACAGAACATAAAAATATATACAAGATAAACAATTGTATACAAAACAGAAAACACAGAGTTATTGTAATGAAGTACCTAATTATTTGGAAGGAAAGGGAATTTAATATCTTGTTACATAACCTAATTGTAACAAAATCTAAAAATATATTTGGAAATCCATTTTGAGCTAAATCACAAATAAATAATTTTTAGTTTGGTCAAACATAAATTAGTAAAAATTTATTTAAATAAATTTGTTCCATGAAATTTACTTTGG